TTGAGTAGATTTACGAAAAAACCCAAAACATCTATTAAAATGACGATTAATTTTGGTATTTTATTACCAAATGCTACACATAAAAATGAGGAAGAGTTGGTTGAATATTCTGATTATGACTGGGCTAGAGATAAAGTTGATTTTAGAAGCACACCGGGTTATATATTCCTATTAAAAAAATTACCGATTTCATGGTGCTTGAAGTTACAACATGTTGTGACACTCTCCTCTTGTGAAGTTGAGTACATGATTGATGCTTATATAGCTTGTCAAACATTATGAATTGAGAGTTTGGTGAATTAAGTCCTTGAAAGATTATGACATTGAAGATTGATAATAAGTCAATCATAAATTTAGTGAAAAATTTAATTCATTATGGGAGAAGTAAACATATTGGATTGAGATTTTAATTCATCAAAGATGAAATAAGGAAGACTTGAACACTGTGGCACGAAGAAGCAGTTGACGAACATCCCGACAAAACCTTTGAAATAATCAAAGTTTCAAAGAATTGAGAAAAAAATTAATATTAAATTAATTACTGAATTAAAGGATTGTGTTAGATAATAATTCAACAATTATGATGAAATGTTTGATTTAGTTAGGTTGGTTAGCCTAACTAACTTCTATTCTTGTTATAAATACTATGTCAATATGTTTGTATCTAGTGTACCTCTTTATCTTGATACTCTCTCGATACTTACTTTTAGACCCCTTTCCGCTAATATAATTGTCTAACCTTATATTGATTTTGGTAACCACAATTTCACTATCATAATTTTGGATAAAAAAATAAATATCAAATGAATTAAATTTTTAAATTTAATTGTGAATTGTATTATTTTGTAAAATCGGGTGATAACATTGTTGATAATAATAAAATCATATATAAAACTTGTGTTTGGATATGATTTTCAACAAATTTAAATACACTTCATTTTAGATTTTTTAATGTATAAAGTAATTTATTTTGATTAAATAATTTAATATTATTAAATTTCAAACTTTTGGTTGTTTAGATAAAAGATTTTAATTGTTATTAAATATAAAATTTATCATTTATGAATTAGGACTAACTCATTCATATGGATTGAGAGATTATGATCGTCTTAATGGACTTAACTAGGATAAGTAAGTAAGGTTAAACCTAATTGAGATAAATTGTGTTGGAAGTTAGATCACTAGTGCAGAATATGGCTTTTACGTCACCCAATTGTCGTCGCATGCACGTATATTCGACGTAAATAAAACGCGGTGGCAATTTTGTAAATATGGGACAAAAAATTTACGTCGCACACCCCAACAGGAGACGTAAAAAGTCATCTTTACGTCGCACCTGGGAGGCGCGACGTAAAGATGGCTTTTACGTCGCGTCGCGGGGACGCGACGTAAAAGCCTTAGCTTTTTACGTCGCGCCCCCTGTACGCGACGTAAAGGCCATCTTTTACGTCGCGCCTCCCGAGTGTGACGTAAAGATGACTTTTTACGTCGCTTACTACACTAGCGCGACGTAAAAAGTCTATTTTATTTCCCTCCAGACCCACTTCCTCGTCTCGCGCAACCGGGGTTTTTGAGAACGACGACGAGAACAACGACAACGGCCTACCTCTGCACACCATTTGCGAGCGGTTTACGATGAAAAACATCTACATTGTCGTGTCATTTGACGAACTTCATCTTTCTCCCAGATTGGATTCGAGTTTGAAATCGGTTTTCGTCTACACTCGAGGTTAGTGTTCATTGTCATTGCTATATGTTTACATTGAATCCAGTGATTGTTTTTGGGGATCTCAATCACGTTATAGTATGAATGTCTCCACTTGGATTGTTATTGGAATGCAGTTATTTGTTTATTTGTTTGAGTGCATTCGGTTTACACACTCCATTGTTGTTGGAACGTGCTTTGTTGTTTGTATATTAATTTTTTTTTACATATAATTTTTAAATCTTTAGGAGTGACGAAACTTTATAACATAATATGAATCGAAGTTGGATGAATGCACGTCGTATTAGTGAAGAGTACGAAAAGGGAGTTGAGGAATTTCGAAATTTGCTAGTGAAAATGGAAAAGCTATGAAAGGGACATATTATTGTCCATGTGTTCGTTGTTTGAATCAAATTCGTCATAAACTTGAGGATATACGTGATCACTTGTTTGTTTATGGTATTATTAAGAGTTATACAATATGGACATGGCATGGAGAAATATTAGACATCCCAATCGTGTCAACTACGGACAATTTTGATGAAGGGATGGATGATAATCTAGAGGATATGATACGTGATATTGGTGAAGAACATTTTATGAAAGCACATCTATATGATTCTTTGAAATCTGATTTTGCGCAACAATTGTACATAGGATGTAGTTTTACAAGATTATCAGCAACTTTAAAATTGTTTACTTTAAAAGCAAGAAATGGATGGATCGATAAAAGTTTCACCGAATTATTGGAGTTGTTGAAGGAGATGCTTCCTGAAGATAATACATTACCTATTCGTAACTATGAGGCAAAGAAGATATTATGTCCAATGGGTTTAGAGTACAAGAAAATACATGCATGTCCTAATGATTGTATATTGTACATTGTACAAGAAAATAATATATGACTTTTTTCACTTAGAATCGATATGCTGGAACTAATGTTCTAAGTGGAAAACCTAGAACGAAGACATTGCAGTTCATTTATCCTAAGGTTAGAAACTTATTTATATAAGTGAATACCATAATTATTGTTTATATTTCAATTTTGAAAATAATATTATGTTTTTTTCATCATTTCAGGTGTAATAAGCAAGCCGACTCGTTTGAATGTGGTTCTTATGTAATGTATTGGATGAGAGCCATAGTTTGTGCGGGTTTAATTGATTCTTGGACTGGAGGTAATTACTTTTAACATTAGTTAAGTTTATTTAACTTTATTCATGTTGCATGCTTACAAGAGTCAAATTCATGTTTCGGGTATTTCAAGATCCATCTCCATTACCGAATCCGAGATTACTGAAATTAGAGAACAATGGGCAAAATTTTTTGTTCTACAATTCTAGTACATTATTTTTTATGTTCTTGTTCATATTATATTGTGTGTATTATGTAGTTTAGTTTAGTTTGTATAGGTAGCTTAGTTTGTATAGGTAGCTTAGTTTGTAATAGATTTTTTAGTTTGTATGTTTGTATTATTTTGTTTTATTATGTAGTTTGAATTATATAATATTATATTTTTAATTTACTAGCAAAAGAAAACTGCTCTGGACTGTCCTGGTTGTAATTTTTGCGGGTTTTAGTTGTAAAACAGAGTAAATAAACCCAATTTAAAAAAAAACGAGTAAATTTACGTCGCATATTGGTATATACGACGTAAATTTACGTCGCATATACCAATATGCGACGTAAATTTACGTCGCATATACCATATGCGACGTGTAAATTACGTCGCATATTGGTATATGCGACGTAAATTTACGTCGTATATACTCAATATGCGACGTAAATTTACGTCGTATATACTTGTATGCGGCGTAAATTTTCTGTTTTTTTTTTTAAATTGAAAAGGTTTTTACGTCTGTTTATTGTATATGCCACGCAAAATTACGTCGTATCTTCATAACTGACGTAAATCTACGTCGGGTAAAAGGGTCCGACGTAAATTTACGTCTCCCGCTTTTACGTCGGACTTAAATACGACGTAAAAAGCCCTAAATACCTGACGTAAAAGCCCCTTTTTGCACTAGTGGATCAAATTGGACAAGTTGGATAAAATTGAGTTAGGTTGAGTAAATTATGTTGAGATAAGACGAGTGGTGTTGGGATGAGTCAAACTTGTTAAGACAAGTTGAGTCGAATTGAGTTAAATGGATATAAATAAATTAAGTTTAAGTTGTAGTCAAATAGGATGAATTAAATATGAGACAAACTAGGTTAATACAAAATAAGACAAAAGTTTGAAAGGATTAATCAAAATGAGTTGGTACAAACTAAGATGAGCTATGTTAGGTTTGAGTTGGTTATATTTACTTTAAGTAGTTGAGTTGAGTTTGATAAAAAAAAATAAAAAATTAAATCACGTTAAAACAAGTTAAATAATGAGTCAAACCATATTAAATTAGGTTGAGATGATTTAAACCAAATCAAAATTTAATAGATAAAATTGAGAATTATCAAGTTAAATATAGTGAAATCACGTTAGATATACTTAAATGAATTGGATTAGATCAAACTAATTTGTAACCGATTAAATATTTAGATAAACAAAATTATACTCTTTTATAACAAATAATTTTAAAATGAATAGAGGATAACAAATAATTTTAAAATAAATAGAGGATAAGTTAAGTTGAACAAAAACTAGAATAAATTAAAGATATCAAATTCATATCGAATGAAAGAAAAAAATATAAAAAAATACATATTTTAAAAAAGAAAAAATATAAAAATTCAATTTTTGTTTTGTTTTTTAGATATAATTTTTAATTATTTAATTTTAAGTAATTATTTTTATAAATTTCTATTTTTTTAATTTTTATCCAAACAAATAATTTTATTACGAAATATTTCAAATTTTATGTTAAAATAAAATAACTTTTATAATTGTTATATCCAAACTAATTAAAGTTATAATACTAATAAAAATAATATAATTAATTATAACCTTCTTATAAATAATAAACATAAAAAGTGATAATAATAATAATACATGTTTATATTGTCATAATTTTTTTTATTCGGTAAAAAAATATTATTTCTTAAGAAAATGCATGTGTTATGAAAAAGAATACAGTAGAAGTTACCGCGTAAACAACAGTGGTTTCTATTATAGAGGGGGAAGGGAGGGCAGGAAAATGTGTCGTAACGGAAAAACAAAAATGCGCCACGTCAGCAAGGAATAGGATGAGCAAGAAGTCGTGTCTCTGGTTGCTCAAAACAAGCTGCTACCATCCTCTCCTCTCCTATCTGCTAATGTTGTTAAATGCTAATCCACTCCATCTCTCTCTCCTCATCCATGGAAGTTAACCTCTCTCTCAACCACCACCGCGCCCTCTCTCTAGCCTCCCGCACTCCCTCCCTCTCCACTCTCCGCACGCACTTCCTCGCCTCCACTCACACTCTCCGTCCCCCTCCAACGCCCCCCTCCCTTCGCTCCCGCAACAAACGCTCCACCCGCCATAACTTAGGTCTCCTCCGCTTCCACTCCCCGCGCTTCGTCTTCAAGGCCTCCCTCCATTCCCACTCCGTCATCGTCGTCGTCATCGTCGTCACTTTATCCGCCGTTTCCTGGCTCCACTTCACTCTCACCAAGAAAAAAAACAAGTCTCTTAACCAGGTCACTCCACACCTCTCTCTTAACTAATTTTTAACTGTACAATATTCGAATTTTACTGATTGCTTGCTTTAATTTTTTTAATTTTTTGAGCTAGTTTTTTCAATTTTCAATTTCATTAGCGGACTCTTCCCCTTAGATTGTTTTCTACCAATTTGTTTTTTCGCATTTAGGAGATTCTTCACTCCACAGCTTGGATTAATGCATTTAGTGTTCTGGATAGAGTGTTACTGCTAGTGAAGCTATGTAACTCGTGAATTGATTGAATATGCTCTATTTCTATAAATACCACCTTCCTGACTTTTTCGCTAGTACAGACACGGGGGCATGCGAATTTCGCGTTATCGCCGCAGGGAACTAATGTTGGGAGCCGGGTCATTGATGACGACATTCTTGGTTTTACGGAATTTCAAAGGGATAACAAGCTGACTGAGATTGGGAAGTTGAAGGATCAGCATGGGGAAGACTACCGCGTCTTTGAGGAAAACGAGATCCACCTCCCGTTTTTGAAATCTTCAGTGGTGCAAGAAGTGGCCCTCGCGACTGAGACTTCAGAGTCATCTTCTTCTGTTCTTGACTCTGGTGTGAATAATAATGATAGTAATAATAGTTCCAAGGTATTGGATGAGTCTTTTTTATCCGTGGCTTTCTCACCAAGTTCATTACCACCTCTGGAGTTTGCTGAGGAAATGGCTATACAAGTGGAAGAAAGTCAAGGTAAAGTTGACTCTGATCCTAAGTTGCCTTTAAATAACGTTGGTTCTGAGCATACTGCTTTTTCTGTTCGCCTAAACAACTCACTGGCAACTGTTGGTGGACATACTACAGAAAAAATTGAACTTGGTGCCATCAACGGTGATGCCCTTTTTGGTGAGTCAGTTAGAGAAGGGTTATACATGTTTTATGAGGTTAACAAGTCTGCAACTGGATCTATGGCACCGCTGAGTAGTTTAAAGTCATTATCTCCCCGTGCTTCTTTTATGAATAAAAAAAGATCTCCCTCAGTGATGGGAAATGCCACGCTGAAAGCAACAGGATTATCTACAAATACTCCTCTACAAAATGCAGGTAATTAAATGAAAGAAAATGTATAGTGCCCCATACCAATGATGATATTTTTGGTCAAATCCTTGCATAATATCATGATGAACAATAAAGTATTTAAAGAAAACTTTAATGTAAACCATGTTTTATTGATTCAGAACATGTAAAAGGAGCTGTTGAAATTTTCGGTCATAAAGATGGCTACCCTCCACAACATGTGAGTAAAAACTTGAGGAGAGGAAGAAGCTCTTCAAGAGACAGGGAAAGGAACAACATGAATCACAATAATGACATAGTTTTGCTCCGGAATGCTCACTCAATAAAGATGCATATTGATCTGAAAAATGATCAAATCATGGTGTATGATGGTCAGAAAAATGATCCTTCAGAACATCTAAGCAAATATAATAATTTGCTAAAAGTCGGGAGGTAATTTGCTAACTTACTCTGTCTCCAATGAACACTGAAAACCGAATCTAGTTGATTTATGAGAATACTAGTTGGAATTTAAACCTGAAACAAGTTTGCTTTGAATGAAACCGTGAGGTGAAACTCCTCCCTTCGCTTCTTTCTTATTTGTTATCTATATCATGAACATGATGCCCATCTGAACTACTTTTAATCTCGAGGAGCTTATACTGAAGTACATTGATTTTGTTAGGCTACATGAATGTGTAGAATTGCTTAAACATATGGAAACAGAGGGTTTATTAGACATGACTAAGGTACATGCGTCTTTCTGGCTTATACTTGATATGCTGTTCTTCAATTTGTGTTTCTCTTCCATAACTATTTACTGCTTATAGGTTTATCATGCCAAGTTTTTTAACACCTGCAAGAAAAGAAAGGCTGTTAAAGAGGCTTTTGATTACATTAGGCTCATTCCAAATCCAACGCTGAGTACATTTAATATGCTTATGTCGGTGTGCGCAAGCTCCCAAGATTCAGAAAGTAAATTTTGTGGTTACCCTCTAAAAGTTCTTCGTCATCTTTTCAGTCCATGACATTTCTATTGTTTATTTTTCAGGGGCTTTCCAAGTTTTGCAGCTTCTTAAGGATGCTCAACTAGAACCTGATTGCAAACTTTATACCACTCTGATATTAACTTGTGCAAAGAGTGGGAAAGTTGATCTAATGTTTGAAGTACACTATCTCTCTTCAACTCACCATAGCATGATTCTAAATTTGGAATCCATTAAAACTGTTAATCTGTATGCTTAGGTTTTTCACAAGATGGTTAATGCTGGAGTGGAACCTAACGTTCATACCTATGGAGCACTTATTGATGGTTGTGCTAGAGCTGGGCAAGTAGCTAAAGCATTTGGTGCTTATGGAATTATGAGGTCAAAGGTACAATTATTGCAAATGTATTTTTTAACTATAATCGCATTGGTATCAGTTGAGTTCCTCACTGTTTTTAATTGTACATGCTGATGTGATGTTTTATGCAGTAGAATGTGAAGCCAGATCGTGTTGTATTCAATGCACTTATAGCTGCTTGTGCCCAATCAGGAGCTGTAGATCGTGCTTTTGATGTGTTAGCAGAAATGGCAGCAGAAATACAGCCCATCGACCCAGATCACGTAACTATCGGTGCATTGCTGAAGGCATGCACTAAAGCCGGTCAGGTGCGGTTTCTCTCTTCCCCAGTCACTCTGTTTTGTTATACTTTACTATAAATCTATTTATTGTTTGACAATTTTTTTTTTTTTTAGGTTGAACGAGCACAAGAAGTGTACAGGATGGTACAAAAATATAACATAAAGGGATGCCCAGAAGTTTACACCATTGCCATTAATTCTTGTAGCCAAACTGGGGATTTGGAATTTGCTCTGGCTGTATATAATGACATGACGCAGAAAGGGATCCTCCCAGATGAGGTACTTTTATAAAAAAAAAAAAAAATTCTTGATGATATGGATTATTAAAGTCTTTAGTTTTAGCATATTATAAAACATAATAAATAACAATTTTATTTATGTGGTGGTTTCTTGAATTAATTCTTGTATCTAGTGTTGTTTGCTTACAGAAGTTGACTCATCATGCAGATATTTCTGAGTGCACTGATAGATGTTGCTGGTCATGCTAAAAACCTGGATGCTGCCTTTGATGTCCTACAAGAAGCCCATAAAGGAGGAATACAGATTGGAATAATGCCATATAGCTCATTGATGGGTGCCTGTAGTAATGTATGTCTGGTCAATTAATGAGATTTAAGTTGAAAAGAAAAAAAAAACGAGACTGGCAGGAACGAAAATGAAGCATCATTAATAAAATCCAGGGCAACTTTTTAGTCATGAAAGTCAAAATTTGGATAATGGATTTTGTTAGTATTCATAATAAAACCTAAGGGAACTAAAATGAATTGAAAGTCTGTTCATGGACAGTAGACTGCATTTGAATTACGTATTAGAAATGGATGATAAAAGATGTTTTATGTTTTAAATAAAGTCATTAATTTAAAAAACTCAATTCATTTGATGACTGATTTTAGGATTTCTACTAGGGAAAGTAATGAAGTCAAAATTACCATGTTTTTCTGGCATTCTAGTTATTGATTTAATAAAGAAATATATATGGATGTAGAATGTTTTCTTCACTGTAGTATATAAGGATTTTGTGCTCTAGTTGATGATCCTGAATCTAGAAACTAATAATAATGAAATACAAGTATGACCTAAGACAAGTACTGTTATGTTTCTTTTCCATATAAGTTGTTTTTTTTTTTTTTTTCAAATCTCTTTCCGCCTGTATTGAATTCACTAACTAACTGGTGGCAAATACTTGTTCCAGGCAAGAAATTGGCAGAAAGCATTGGAGCTATATGAATATCTTAAATCTCTTAAATTGACATTGACAGTTTCAACAATTAATGCTTTGCTCACTGCACTTTGTAAGTTTGACTTTTTTCTTTGGTCCTTTTGTTGATTATTATCATACCTCTGCACTAAATTTTTTATGAAGAAGATGTTCAATATCTTGAAAAAGTAAATTCCTTTAAAAAAATACTGCAAATTTGAAGGTGTGTGAATTCAGGTGAGTTTAAGTTAATAGGTTTAGTAAACATATCCGAAGATAGAGAGATAAGAGAGACCAAAGGAGACTCAGTTGCATGACCAGACAACTAACATTTCTTTGAAAACTTAATCTTCATTCATTCTCGGGAAAATGACCGTAAGTTATTGCTTGACAAGGGACTTGTCGAAGTTAGGGTACCATGGTCAACTAGAGAAGCCAAGGAAAAGGGCGCTATGATTTAATTAAATCTTTGACTAGTCCCAAGTAATATTCTGTCACTTTACACGACACAAATAAATGCCCAAACTTAAAAACTTTGATTGCTAAGTGCTAAAATAACCCTAGAATCTTACCTAGGACAACTTAAGTAGCTTGTGAGTGACCAAATCACTAACTGAACCTATAACCAAATTGCTATTATATGATATAACTACTAAGATATGATAAGGACAGTGTAAATTAAGATAAATGCCAAATGATTTGACTTTGTTTAACGTTGCTTTTCCTAAAGCATTTCTTGTAAATGACATGGTTGACACCCCTCTCTTACTTTGTTTTGCTTCAATTATGGCTACTTAGCTGTTTCCCCAATCTGTGCAGTTACATTATTTAAGGTTAGCTGATTAATGGGAAAAATGGAGTTTAAACATTCTAAGAGTTCTGTACAGGTGATGGAGATCAATTTCAAAAGGCTTTGGAGGTTTTTTCTGAAATGAAAGGATTAGGATTGTGCCCAAACAGTATCACATTCTCGATACTTATAGTGGCAAGTGAGAAGTAAGTGGTCATAGAGGATTTTGTCATCAAATTAATGTTGTTAGGTTCTTTCTCAACCAATTTCCTATTTTCGATTCCCTGATAGAAAGGATGATATGGAGGCAGCTCAAATGCTCCTTTATCAAGCCAAAAAAGATGGTGTAGCGACTAACCTCATCATATCTCGATGCATAATTGGTAAGTCTCATTTGATTTTTTTTAGCTTATATTCTCACCCTATATTCCGTAGCTTAATTGAACCTTTTCTTTGATATGGGTTTGAAATTCACCTGTTTCTTGCATGACTAATATTTATACTTTTGCCTTGCTCGTTAGGAGCTATATTGTTAAAGAACTATTGTCACATTGCAAATGCATTGAAAATTGATGTATAATTTTCCTTTTTGCGTTTTTTCTTGTGTGTTATCACCTATAAAGCCCAAATACGTAATTCAACCCGGGTACAATATGAACCATGTAAATGATTTGAAAATTTCTTAAAAGTTCAACATTGATTAGAATTAGTAATATGAATTAAAAACAAAACATATTTTGCATAAGTTCACTATTTTTTTAAGAGACATATCCTTTCTATTAATATGTAATCACATAAGTGGATAGTGATCATAATGTTAAAAAAAATTACTTGTGTATTCCCAAAGACCGTATCAAAATATATTCTTTCCCTAATGACCTTATTATAAAATTTCATATTTTCTGGCACCTTTTCGAACATCTCAGAAAGCATCGGTAGTTCTGTTCAAGAGAAGTCATTATTATATAATTATTAGTCCTAGTGAAAATAAGTTTTGGCTCCATAAATTTGCTTTCTTTCCAATATTTATTTAAGGATATAAAAGAATAAAATAGACACGTATTAGTGCTATGTAATTTAATCCTATTCAAAGCATCAATGTTGAATTGCAAATGTCTTAATTATTATTTTCTAAAAATTAAAAAGTAGGAAAATGCTCATTATATGTATTGGTATTTGTTCAGTTAGTTATTTGTGTGCAATCGCATAGGAAGTATTTCTAAGGTTGTTTCATATTGAAAATACAGAAATCATTATGAAATCTTATTCCTCCCCTAAATTATATATATAAACAAAAGCGTTAGGCTCATGATATATTTTGAATTTTATTTATGGGATTAGTTCTTAATTTGCTGGGAACTTCAACCAAAAGGTTATGTATTTTGGTTATCTTATGGCCCAAATCTATTCATATATGATGCCTTAGAGTTCTATGGTTTGTAAATCCTGATAGCGCTTCGATTTCTTTGAAAGGCATGTGCCAGCGGAGATTTGAGAAGGCTTGCATTGTTGGTGAGCCTGTTTTATCTTTTCGCTCAGGACGGCCACAAGTTGATAATAAATGGTATATGTTACTTAATTTTTACAACTCTTTTAAGACATAATTCTTTATTTAACTATTTATTCATGCATAGACATTCTTTTTCATATTTATTTTTTCAATTTATGCATGTCATAGTGGTGCTTTTCATAGTGAAACTATTGCATTTCTACAAGATTTTGTTGGAAATGATCCTCTTTTTATTCATTCTTCCCAATTGAATCTGCCAAAGGAAAAACTAAAAACACGAGGGAAGTCTGTAAATCTTTGTTCCCGGTTTTTCTTATGACCATTAATTTTCTCAGGCTTCTCTTCTAGATTATTTTCTTCGTGGAAGTTTTTAATACTGTTTTTACTCTAAAGGACATCACTGGCCTTAATGGTGTATCGTGAAACAATTGAAGCTGGTCAAAAACCTACAATTGAAATATTGTCACATATTCTGGGATGCCTGCAACTCCCTTATGATGCATCTCTGAAAAATAGACTTGCTGAGAACTTAGGAGTAAGTGCAGAACCTTCAAGAAGTTCAAACCTCTGTTCATTAATGGATGGATTTGGTGAATACGATCCTCGTGCTTTTTCAATACTTGAGGTCAGTATGGAGCTGAAACTAGTTCTATTCAATATCTTGCGTCTTACTGTTTTAAGGGAAACTGGATCATCACATGATGCTGTAATAATTATGTAGGAATCTGCTTCATATGGAGTTGTTCCATCTGTATCGTTTAAAGTGAACCCCATTGTTATTGATGCTAAAGAATTACATTCTTCTATTGTTGAGGTGAGCTAATCTAACTCCTACATTGATTATTTATGTTGCATAAAAGTTTGCATTTTAACTGTGAAAGGCTAGAGAAACAGAGAACTTTATGTGTATGATTCATTAACTCAACTGTATTTGGGAATTACAATAATTGAATTTCTATTTATAGGAATCAGGTTGGGTGTAAGTAACATACCCAAGCCTGTCCATAGTTTATGAAAGCCGACATATTTGGTATATTCTCACTAAATTCCAAGGTTAACTAACAAGTTTAAAATTAACATATTTTGTATCAGAAAAAAGTGCATGTAGAGTAGGTATACCGATTGGGACCTCATGACATACACAAGCCTGAGGTGTAGTTTATGAAAGCCGACATAATCTTATTAACTGACAAGAATTTCAGAAAAGAAGTGCTTCAGTGTCGTTGGACATATAATTAGCACATGACATAAACAGAAGGGAATATTTTTACCTACATCAAAGTATTTTTTATTAATCTTGTATTTTGAGAGTAATTTTTATTAGCACATGATATATGTTTCATAAACATATACATATACGATCAATTATGATACCAATTTGCAATTTTTGCTCCAAATTTGAATGATGAGTAGCTCTTGCTTCCCTGCTTCTTCGCTGTTTATGTCTCTTTCATACTCGGTACTTTTGTGTACAAACTGAAACATTTGCAAATTTGATACACAAACACATGCAGAAGGTAAACATTTGAGTTACTGTAATTGTTAAATCCATATCCCTGAATCCATGCCAATGTTTACAGGTGTATCTCATAACAGTTTTGAAAGGTCTCAAGCATAGACTAGCAGCAGGTAATATCAACATTATTTAATAAAACAGTGCTACCTTTTACTTGTACTTTTCATTCATAGAAAGATTTTATCCTCGTATTCTTGTCTGAGATCAATTGAAATTTTAAAAATGAGTTAATTTGTTAAATTGACTTTATTTATATGAAACATATTCTACTCTATTGACTATTAATTCTGATATCTGGATAAGGAAATGATTTTTCCAACAATATAAGGACTTGTTTTCTGGAACTCTGCAGCAGCAAATATTGTGAACAAAACCTTGTTATTATGACATTTTGCCAGATCAATCTCTCGGTGATCCATTTTGAAATTTTCAATTGGTGATGATCTATGTCTACAAACTGCAGTGTTTCTTTTATCATACAATTTCTGGACTCTCTTTTTTCTTTCTTTAATCATCGTTTAAATTTGTAAAAGAAAAAATTTGTTTAAATAAACTTTATTAATAATTATCAGATATGTATTTACAAGTTTACTAAACCAACAGAAGGCTTGTGGTAGAAATACTAGATTATAATGTACTGACTTCTTTGGTTGGGGATTCTCATGAAAATATTCCTTTCAGGTGCAAGATTGCCCAATATAATCATTTTATTGCCTGTAGAGAAAACAGAAGTCGTGTCTCTAAAGGGGAAGAAGATCATTAACCTTGCAGGAAGGTAAGGTCGTCAATTACAAATGTGTACGTTATCAACATGCTTTTAACCATATAGTTGCCCCACATATATGCAGCAATCCATTGCACAGACGTACAATATGAACTAGAATTCCAAATTTTTGAGTTAGTTAGAGGAACACATTTTTAAATGCAGAAAGCCTAAATATATTTTTGGTTTCTAAATCAAATATGGAAATCTTATCGTACTTAACTTACATGTTCTGTTGGTATTTTGGTGCTATTTTCCAATGAAAACACATAATGAGTGTTTGTTATTACATGTGTTTATTATAATATTATCATTGATGACCCACCCATTATATTTGTACATCGGCATATTTTTTGTCTTCATTTGTAATTTTAGTGATGGTGATTGTAGTGAGCCATTTAACTGTTTGACACATCCACATGTTAGTAACAAGATGTGTATGCAAAATTGAATATCTTAAATGGTCAGTGGTCAAATGGAACGAGCAAGTCAAATTAAGTTTCTTAAATTTTTGTTTTAGTTTTTAGCAGGTGACTGACTACCCCTGCTAAGGTATAGATGCTTGCAGATCATAAGAATATATTTGCAGTTTGCTTCGTGTTTTAAGGAGATTGTTGTCGTGAGTTACATGTCACTGAAAAATTGGAAGCTGTTGTTATGTGATTTTATTCGATCTTTTAGTTGGAGATTTTTCTCTTGTACAAGGTGTCTAGAAAATATTGTTCAATAAATTTGTGTAACAAATATGCAATATTTTTGGCTTCAGAGCTGGGCAAGCAGTTGGAGCGTTATTGAGGAGGCTTCGGATTCCTCACCTTGGTAATGAATCGAATGGTAAGCTTAGAATTAATGGTCTGTCTTTGAAAAAATGGTTTCAGCCGAAACTTGCATCTCCATTTAGCGGAAAACCAGGTGATTGGAGTTCCTCCATATCACGACTAGGCAAAAGTATTAGCCATCAGCAACGAAACATCCGAATGGGCAATCTGTCTTTGGACTAAGACAAGTGTCATGCATTAATTATCAGCCCAAGACAAGCACCTGGTTTTTGCCTAATACTTTCTTCCTGCCCCCTCTTCACCAAACCGTCTTAACGTTTTTTCAATATATAAGTTGAAAGCTCCTTCATCCTAATGGTATAATAGAAGAGTAATTTAGACCCAAGAATGCAGATAATGCCTTCTTGAGTGCTGAGGCCATTGAATGCTAGGAGCAGGGACAGTGTAGGACATCTCGACAAGTTCATTTTGGTGACCGAGGTCATACCCGCGATAGAATATAAGTGGCAGTTCTTCACCTGCAGCTATGTCATGGCCTTTGCAACGCGGATTATATATATATGTATGATGATAGAGATGCAGATATTTCATGTATGTATGTCTTATTGCATGTATTTTTTTGTCTAGAACTCTCCAGTTGTAAACTAAAAAGAAGCAAATTGAAAAAATAATAAGATGATTTTGATGTTTACCAGTTCTTCCATTATTTTTATCATCCTGTATAAAAATACCAATTAACATGATCTTAGACAAATATTTATATGCTTGGCTTACATTGAGAAATTGATTGAGGATAGAAAATAAAATTTTAGGTTGAAGTAATTTTATCTAGTTTTCACATTGATTCAAAAAGTTTATACTCAATTTTATGATTAACTTATTTTGAGAATAAATTTAAAATATACCATTCGACTTCATTCAAAATTGATATAATACTCTTCAAACAATTTTTTAGAAATTTGTACTATTGTTACTACTTTTTTTAAATTCGTATATTCACAAAAAAATGTTTTCTTTTCTATTTTCTTTTTTATTTACAGGAATATGATTGCATGAAATATCTACGGTTGTTCACTCCAATTAATATATTATATATTTTGGATGATATGAAGGCACCTATCCTGATTTTTTTCATATACAAAATCACTATTAAAATTCTTGACCACTCAAATAATATAGAATGTGAGTTCATTACCACATTTGACTTGCTGGTCTATAATATTAGTTTATTACTACTGTTTTGATTTTTCATCTTTTAAATCTAAGAGAAAAAAAAATGTAAGCCTGTCAGCCGACAGGTTAGGGACGAATCTATATATATATATATTTGGAACATTTTGAAAAAAAAAAATTACAAGAATATAAGTTGAGCCAATTGATGTGTTTATTTATAAAATCAAACAAACTTATTCTCATTCATTTAAATGAATCTCTAACATTATGTATATGAAGTAATATTTGTTGAGAAAAATAACTCTTTGAGATGTTAGTCTCAAACGATAAATAACTCCAAAAAAGAGTCGAATTTGACATTTTAATTTAATTTATTAAAAAATTCATAAAACTTCAAATTTAACTACTTTAGTCTATCCATATCTTTATTTTTTTTTCTATTTATTTATCACTTATTTCAAAGTGTTTTCATCAATGAAATATTTTTATTATGTTTTTATACACATACATACACTAAACAATATCTTTCTTAATTAAGTCAAATTACGATATACTTTTGTATAAAATAAGAAGAGAGGAAGTAAAAGTATGAATAAATAATGCATATATATTCCCAGTATAGCCGATACTGTTATTTAACCATATAAAACATCATATATGGTAAACTTGTTTTTATAATATTTTTTTTAAAGTATCAAAAATGATTTTTAATTAGTTGAGAGTTTATAAATTAACCTTTTAGAAAACAAGTAAACTGAAGTATCTAAACAAAAAATGATTTCGTAATTTTTGAGATAAAATTAAAATTTGCTATATATATATATATATATATATATATATATATATTAGATAGTTTTTATCAATATATAAATAGAAAAATTTTGAGTTTAATTTTTATACTGTATAAAAAGTTATTATTAATCAATAGAAATTATTATTAATGTTACTTTTAAGATAATTATTAAAATATCAGTAAACATATTCTATATGACAATTTATAATTAAATACCATTGTTAAAATACTGTCACTTATATACTATTTCCTCGGGGAAGTTAATTATTTAAGTATGATCCTCTCCAACTCTCCTATCGCCTATTTATCACTTTTTAATTCTTCTTTTTTTCTCCATAATTTACCCATCTTTTCTTTATTTTTTTTTCTACTAGATAAACACTCAAAATATCTAATAACTCGAATAATTAATTCAACTTCTTTACCATAACAAAGTACAAAGGTTACAAACAATAAATAAATTGGGGTGAGGTTTGCGAGGAAGTAGAAGTTACAATTGCCATGGCTACCAATTTGGATTCTCCAAATAAGTTTGAACATAATAATATCATTATTATTATTATACAAATTAAGAAATAGAAGATATAATTTGTAGTCGTCAAAATGAGTGAGTTATAGAAGGAAAAACCCAGATGCAGCAGTGAGAATGGTTTGTTTCAGAAGGCACGCATTTGAGAGGTGAGATTGATGAAAGCATCTTGGTTGCATGGAATGGTGAGGCCTCCCATGGGATGGTTGAACCCAAACTCTTCTTCTGCTCGGTTTAGCAGATCAACAAACAGAGGGTGCTTCAAATATGATATTGGAACCACAAACCTCTTCTTCACCACGTCTCCAACGTACACTGCCACGTGACCCTTTGGAACATTATTCGGCTTCAACCACGTCTGTTTTGCATTAACCATAAACGGTAAACGAATACCCATCTCAGAAAAATGAAGTTTTTGTCTTTGTTTTGTTTGTGTTTGTGTTGTGTTGTGTGAATATGGTTTGCTTTAGAAAGTGCAGAGTAGGGTGGTGTATATATAGCAGGAACATGGAGAGAAAATCCGTACGTATCCAACTCATGGTTGATGATGGCAAGCGTGAGGGTCCCAATTCATAATAACATTGAAGAAAGAGTCACATGGTTTTGTTGAAGTAGAAGCTGAAATCCACATCAAAGTGTTGTTACTATTTGGTTTTGGTTTATGAGCCAGCTAAGTTCCATTGGAGAAGTTCATTCAGCATTGTGTTGTGATGAGTATATTTAGTCTGCAAAATAGAGTGCCGTACGCTGAAAACGATAATTGTCTATCCATGTCGTTACTTGACTCCACGAAGATTCGTTATGTTACGGAGAACTCTTGTTTAATAAATAATTTATACTCATTCACTCACCTCAACCACTTCTCTTTTTCAAACCCTATTCAACTCAAGACAATTAAATAACACATACCATGTACTTTAAATATTTTTCAAACCCTATTCTATACCTTCACTCGTTATCCATCCATTCTCTTTCAATACCCTAAAATATTCATTTGCTAACCTATCATTCCATTTTTCATCTTCTAACCTAAATTCTGATCAAACCACCTTCATGTTGAATTACGTGGAGTTCGACGTAAGAAAAATTCTCATTATTTTTGTTTTTACCTGGTTTCAAAAGCTTGAGTAGATATAAAATCAAAAGAGAATCCTTGTAAAAGGGTCAATGATGCTTAAGTTTGTATGTAAAAAATATATATATCGATGAGGGAAATAAATAATTTTTTATAGTACGTACTAATTATAATTGTTCAAGAGTTAAACGATATTTTTTTTTGTTTATCGGGTGTTCTAGATATTTCGGTGATTCCACTATATTTATCTAAATATTTCGATTAGTGATTCAAGATATTTATTTGGATATCTCAAATAGTTTGAAGTTTTTATATAAATATTTATATATGTCGGATAATTTGGATTATATATCTAAACAATTTGGATATATATGAAATATTTATGGATTCAATTTTAAGGTAATTTTTTTTATTGAAAATAAGATTTTGTAGTACATATAAATCAAATAATAACATTCATTTTTCGTTATAATTTGTAAAATGAAAAAGAAAAAAAGAAAAAAAAGGACGGGTTAGGGATGTGAGAGTTGATCAGTGAACCGACAAGATTCGGAAATAAAGGGTGATTAAGAAACATGGAAGTTTAAGAATCTCATCAAATACACTTTACAAACTGCAAAAGCATTAACACTTTTTTTTTTTTTTTTCTAATTTTTTGTTTGGTTTAAGATTAATTTGTTTGTTCCGATGAGATGTTTTGCAGTTAGTTTTAATTGCCGAGTAGCCATTAAACCTATTCATGTGGTCCCACTCTCTTGGATAACGCGGCAAAGGTTCAATCATACGTATTCTATTACGTTATTATACGATCAAAATAAATTAATTAATATACTTTTAATTATAAAAAAAATATTATTATTAATTTGACTATGTTATTGATAATAAATTATTTACAATTTGTATAAGCACTTAATCTCTGTGACTGATAATATTTAGTAATTTTTCATCAATGTTATAATTTAAGTCTAGTTGAAGAAAAGAAAAATTTATAATAAAAAAAATATAAATTTGAGTAGAAAATATTATCATTTAAAAATGTATTACATTTTTCAATACATAATTAGACGTTTATAATTAGAAATGACACTATCATATTTATTGGTGAAAATTTATATTAACAAGGAAAGATAAGGAGAATGAAAGTTCCAGAATCTAATTAAATGGCAAATGCTTTGTTTTTTGTTCGTTGATTTGCGTGCCCCACCCATAGATATGTTGTTAGGCTATTACAAAGATAAAACAACATAGCATATAAGCCTATTAGCCTATAATATTAGTATATGTGTTTAATTATGACACCACATAAACACAACAATTATGACACCAACAACAAGTAGATTCAAAGTATCACTAAAAATACATTTTGTTTGAGAAGTTTGGTTCCTCGCGAAAAGAGAAAAAACAATAATAAGAGTATGTTCGACAAATCAAATCGAAAATACAATTGTAATTTCAATTCAACTTTGTCAAATCAAGATTGATTTGAAATCGCAATCCTTGTATTTAGGTTGTGAAAAGAGATAGGATGTGCCATGAATTTGAAGTTAAACTTCAAACACATTTTAATTCCTCCAATTAATGGAAATAATTATATAGTTTTGAGGAGGAAGTTAATCTAAAATTATGAAGTTACATAATGACAATGTAAGGGATAAAGACAAGTGAAAGTTAAAAAATAATAATATAATAGAATGTTGTGGAAAGTTAAATTAAGGAGATAGGTGATAAGAGAGTATTTAGAGAATGCAAATTACATTGGATTTTTGTGAGAGTCGGTGCGTGACTCAGGATCATGTAAAGATTTGTTGCATGCACCACAATCTTCAAAAGAAAATATGACACTGAAAAAAGATTTGGACAGTGGTACACAACATTAACTATGCAAATTGTACTTTGATACGTTGGTGTTCATCAATCATAATATTAGATTTATAATGGCTGTTCACAAAGATATGAATCTTTGTTGTATGGCCCTAACTCTATGGGATCAACTCTTTAATTTATTAAACCTTAACCTCTCCACACATGTGGGTCCCTTCAATGTTTGTGTTATAGCGGTGTTTGTTGTTTTGTTTTGTGGTGGGTTTGTTTTTCTGGCCCATTTGTTGAAAGAGGGTTGGGCTCCAAGATTGCATTCCATGGGTGGCCTGTTTTGGACAAAGGTTTTATAGAATGAGGAGAGCAAAAATAAATGAAGTAGACATTTATTTTCTGCACCCATGTTTTTTTTTTTTTTTTTTTTTTTTTTTAAAGACAATATTATTTACGTGAATTTTTATGGAACTAGTAGTATTGGATTTAGACAAGTTTTGGATGGGTGAAAATATGATTATGAAAATTAGGATTTTCTTTTATAAGAATAAAATAAAGAGAAGGGAGAATAAAGAGTAGAAAAAAAAATGAAAAGAATATTTATCTGTTTGAAGAAAAAAATGATATGCAAAAGAAACAAAAATTGTCATTTAAAATTTTTATAATTAAAATAAGTAATTTTATTAAAATTATTCATATATTTATTTTATTGAGAGGTGATTTTTTTTTCTTAAAAAAAATGAAACTTAATGAAAAATAACATCTATTTTATTATTTATTTTAATATCCAACAAGAAAATTTTTGAAATAGTGAATATAAAAATATAATTTTTTTTTAATTTTCAAATTAAATAATTTGAAACCAGTAGTATTTTTTTCCCATGAAGGGACACTTGTTGTTGATATAGGTTACTCATAATGCTTCTTTTAGAGTCTTAAAACAGATTATAATTCTTTTTGTGTCACCAAATCTTATATTAGTTAACAAACATTTTTTACTTCATTGAAAATAATAATAAAAAAACACAATGTCTTCGTATAAAAATAATTTATAAAAAAATATATAAGAAATAATTTAAAATACAAAAATAAATATTTTTTTTATAAAATTAATTTAAATTTAGATATAATAATTAATATATAAGTTATAGTATATATACTAATAAAATAATATTATTTTTATTTAAATAATAATAATAATAATAATTTTATAAAATGAACTGATGATAAACTACCACACTTAAGATTATTTAGATCATAAATTAAATTTATGTATAAGTTTTTTAATTTAAAATTTTAAAATTTATGGTTTAGGATTTATATAGAAATTAGGATTTTCTTTTAAAAACAATAAAAATAAAAAGAGAGAAAGAAAAATAAAATAAACTGAAAAATATTATTCGTATGAAGAAAATTTTGTCATTTAAAATTTTTATGATTAAAATAAATAAAGATATAATTATAAATTTTATGTATATATTTATTTTGGAGAGATGCTATTTTTTTTTCAAAAAATAAATATGTGGGACAATGAAAAGCAACATCTTTCTTTATTAATTCTAATAAGAAAAATGTCTTATTCTTACTTTATTTATCTACACTCCTCATTTTTTTTGTATTCAACATCTTCCATTCAGATAATATATTATCTTTTAAATATAATTGTTTTTGTAATATAATCTATTACTTTTGTTTTCGACCACTTTTAGTGTCGATAAATAATAATAATAATAAGCACTCTTTTAAAAAATATAATTTTTTTTATTCTTTCTATTTGTTTATAATCAAACAACTTTGATTGATTTTATTCTTATTTTATCATTCTTTCTTTTTATTTATTTTTCTCTCTACCAAATGGAGTATTAGAGAAAATTCCATTGACATCTTTTACTGTTTTGTTATTTTTTATTTATTTCTGATTTTTTTTATGTTCCACTCTTAGTGTTTTTTATTTATACGAATAGAACACTAAAGAAAATCATATTTATATTTTTTGTGGTTAAAAAATTATAATATATAATATACTAAAAAAATAAAAGAAAATATTATTATTTGTAAAAACTAAAAATTTATATGATAACAATTTTTAAGTAACTTTAATATTATTATATCTGCAGTAACTCTTGATTGTCTTTAAAGTTGTTATTTTCCATTTATAACAGTTTATAAATTGAATTCATTAAATTTATTTTTGAGCTTATCCTGAAAATAGTGATTTGGAACTTTGGCAACTCAAATCTAACATAGACGGTGAACCTAATAATAGCATAATTTAGGTTAGTTTGTGCCAAAAAAACCCACATTAAACACACCAGACATGAAATTAAGTTCCAACGTTGATGTTTACCCATAACAAGTAGATACAACTATTGATCAATAACATGCTCACCAAATTGAAGATAATTTCAGAGACAATTCAAATTGGGTTCAGCGTATGACTATACTATGCCGTCTGATTTGGCCCAATAATGTTGATATTATGAAAGACAATTGATTGGGCAAAGGTTGTAGAGTTCTTGTCTTTGTCCAATGTAGATCCCTCTGCAGATGAGGATGCATATAAATGGGACATATTTTCCAGTGATAAGTGCACGCAATGCTTCGATTCGTCGCTCATTCTTAATTTTAACATTATCACTCTCGATTCTGGTCTGTTCCATGCTTTCCTTGCCTTGTTTTGGTCTGTGGAAACAATCTTATGTGTCATTAATTACTCTGTCATCTTCTCTGGTTTTGTATCCCTTCAAAACTCTGGTTTTTACTTCACTTTTTTATTTATCTTATGAATAATTGTGGTTCGTTAGAAGGAAAATACTTATTGTTCCTAGTAGAAACAGGTTTCAGTCTCTGCTATAATAGTATAGGGTTAATTAATTATCATATGTACGTATTAAAAGGTTAGTCTCTCACACTTTTATTCTTGAAAGTTATTTTGGTGCATTAAAAGAAAAAAGTATATATAAATTTCTTTTATCTTAATTTTTTAACAAATATAAAACTTATAGATATATCATTTGTAGTTAAAAATTAAGAAATATAAAATAGTTTGAGATTTTCTTTTCGATTCATCAAAAACACCCTTAAACACAAAATTATAAAAGATTAGAGTTTAAAATAGGTAATACTGAAAGACTAATTAAAGGTTTTAATTGTAAATTTAAGCTCTTGTGGGATTTTTATTTTTAAAAACCAATTAAATTTGGTGGTGTTCTTGTTAATTTTCTTCCATTTGAAACTTTCAAATTCTCATTGTCCATCTAAATTTATGAGATTTATGATGGATTTCGGATAGAGAATGTTTAAACTCAGAAATTCACAAATTTAATGAGATTTTGAATGAAATAGAGTAGTGTGTTTGGATAGACATGAATACTGTGTTATTCCATAAACACAATGATGCACCTGTGTACCAAAAAATATCTTATTTATCATCACCTTATCCTACTAATAAAAAATATTTAAAACTAAAATAGAAAAATAAGACAATCAATTTAAATAAATTGTTTATGATTATTATTTTATAATGTAAAATAATTCTACAATTTCATCTAATCATAAATTAAAGTACGATTTTAAAAATAATTACCATAAAAATGAACATGTTTATTATATATTAATGGAGCTATGATGAAGGAGTTTTCTTTTAATAATTTTAAAATAATACTAATTGAAAAAGTTGCGGTCAATTTTTAAAGTTCAATTTAATAGCATCATTTTTTTCCTTTGTAAAAAGAATTAAAATTTTCTCAAAAATTGATTTTATTCCTTGTAAAATATGAATTTTCATTACAATACTTAATTCATCTTGATTATATTGATTCTTTTGAGTAATATTTAAAATATTTTTAAATTTCTCTTTTATCACTCAACTTATATTTTATCATACTAATATATAAGTTTACAATCATATGATGATAATCATTACTAGTAATATAAAAAATTTAGCGTATATTACTTTTAACCCTTCAAATAATTTGATAGGTGTTTCAACTTAGCCAACAACACATATGCAGTAGAATTAATGAAGGTAACGTCAGATATTTAAATAAATAAAAAATTAATTTACTACACTCCCAATTTGAAAAAAAAAAATAATTGGGTATTTAAAACAAACTTCAATAAAATATCTGTCATTTTAAAATAATTGCTTTGTTAACTGTATATATACTGATGTTATTGTTCTCCTATTGACTGTGTATGGATGTTATTGCTGATATGTTTTTGGTGAAGAATGAGGGTAATGGTGTTACAGTTGATGCTTATGTGGTCTAATGACCTGAGTAAAAAGCTAGAGAAGCTTAATCTTATAACAACAGAGTGAAAGAGCAGATTACAGAGTATAATAGATAACCGATGTATCTTAAATTCTAATTGTTGATTGAACCTCCCTTCGAACTGTTATATTGCTTCTATTCAATTGATGAAAATCCCCTTTGGAGACCATGCTCATCGAAGGTTGCATTGAAATTTTCAGAGCAATATTTGGAAACATAAATTTGCTTGAACACAATTGTGAAAAATGTATGTACAAAATTTGAAGACATCTCTTGGGATGCAATTGGATTAAGAAGAATCTCCAGAACAAAATGAATGGAACTGGATATTATTGCTCCTATCTGTCTATCTATCAACTAGGAAAATCAAAAGAACCAATGTCCAATGGGTCAATTTGATGAAACCATTGCTGGTTTTTGAACAACTAATCAATTAAGAGAAGAAGTTAGAGTGATGAAGTAATGTTCAGTGCAAGGAATAGTGAGACCACCCATTGGGTGGTTGAATCCGAATTCTTCTTCAGCCCAATCCAGCAAGTCTCTGAACAAAGGGTGGCTTAGGTAAGATATTGGAATCACAAACCTCTTATAGTTCTCTCCAACGTAAACTGCCAAATGCCCTTTTGGAACATCAGCAACAGCTGAAGCCATTTTGATTCTTTGTGAAAGAGTTCTCTGAAGTTTCTGCTTGGCATTAGCTATCCCCACAAATCTGTTACCAGTCTTCATGATGGAGAAAGCTAGATATGAACCAAAGGGTAAAGATATTAAGTGATGGAATGTAAGACTTGGTTCGAATTGCTATCACAAGAAAATGAACACATGTATATATAGGGGTGAAGCCATGCACTAACTAAAATAGCTTGTTAACATGATATGAGGAATGTTCAGAAACATGTCAGGTGAAGGTCTTGGGGTAGCTTCACATGAGTGTGCCTAATCTGGACCAGAACATGAGGACCCACTAAATTTTGGAGCCAGAAAATAAGTGTGGTACTAGTTAAAAGTTGTACTACTTGTTGATTATTGTTTCATGCTTTGAACGAATAATGTCTTGGCCCTTTTTCTTCTAGGCACGTTCTTGACATGAAATGCCAACATGAATTGGAAAATATGTTGAACTGGTCATACCTATTAAAAGGAGCTTTGAATTTAGACTGGTGCTCTTTACTGGCAATTTCTTGTCATCACCAGACAGCTTCTATTGTGATAAGCTGATATTAGATAGGCCTATGCACTTGCTTCACATCATTTTTAGGCTTAGGTTAAGTTAATCCTTTATTTAATTTGGTCCAAATTGACTTAATCTCATACGTTTAATACTAATTTAAAAATCCCATCCTAAATAGTAGATGCAATGTCAAATCTATATAATGAAATACCATCATCCGATTCTCACCTACCTGATATGTTGGACTAATTCAAGCAGAGAAACTTTGTTTCTAAACAAGATCAGGCTCAATTCAATGACCCTTAGTAGAGTTTGATGTTCAATATTTCTTATTTTTAACAAATTTCACTAATCACTTTTACTGCGATATCTTCTAATCCATTTCTTTTTCCTTTACAAGCTTAAATATGCATGACATGAAAGCTTACTTGAAATATTACTGAGTAGTTGATAATGCAATTTTACATTAACAGTGCAAAAAATTAGCTCTTCATAAATTATAGAAGCATATCATATTTGCCGACATTATTTAGAATTGTAATCAATGAGTTCAATAATTAATGGGTGAGCACTACGTCATTATTCAAAACAAAAAGCCAAATAAAAAGTCTGAATTATTTGGTAGAAGGTTGGTTCGTGCATTAGACCTGCTACATTTGTTCTTTTGCTAAACGAAGGATGATAACTTGGTTTACACAGTTTCATAAACTGCAACAATCACTCCTCTCCTATTCTCAAAATACAAATCTATCAGTTTATCTCCTTTTAGTTTACTTTCATCTCCATCGTGAATCACAGGGAAAATAACTTAAATGACAATCACACATGCACCCCATCACATCAAACACAACACAACTTTCATAGTCAAACTTTGCATTTGTTTCGTGTAGTAAACTAGAGTAAAAGGCAAAATAGGAGTGAAGTGCTTGATCTGTAATTTGATCAGACCAACAGATTGTCAAGTACATTAAACAATGCACATTTCACCTATTCACTCTCCGTTGCATTCATAAAGCATTCCAATAATAGAGCCACTCGATAGAAAACTGAAAACGTCCATGTGATCGCATAAAAGTTGTTTTCAACACCGCATGTGAAATACTCCCACTATTGGACTACTGGACCCGATTTTTGGAAGGTCAAATACTTCAGCATTGTTATGTAACCAAAGTTCACTCATGGCTAATTATAAAAAGTTACTTAATCTGTTTACAAACCTCTCTTTTAAAGTTTAGTGACCACCCATTATAATTCTATTAGCACTCATTTAGCCCTCCCATAATCTTGTAAACAAAAGTTTCCATCTTGTTTTGTGATTACACCAAAACTTGATTTTTGTGTGTAGTATCTCTGGAAAAATAGATTAACTGAAATATGATTTTTTATTATATCAATACAAAAAGATGATATAAAATATATACAGGAGACCTAAGCTATTTTAGAAAATATAATAACTCTATTTTATGCTAGGATCCCTTGATTTATGGGATTGTTTCTAATTATTCAAATCTGTACAGATTACAAAGAAATATACAAATTTCCTGATTTATTCTTTCCTAAAATACTATTTGATTTCCCACACTCCCCCTCAAGCTGGTGAATAGATGTTTTCCATTCCCAGCTTGGATACAATCTTCTCAAAATTATGGCAGCCCAGTCCCTTGGTAAGAATGTATGCAATTTGGTCTTGAGAGGACACATATGGAGTGCATATCAAGCCACTATCAAGCTTTTTTTTGATGAAGTGTCTGTCTACTTCAATATGCTTTGTTCTATCATGCTGCACTGGGTTGTGGGTTATACTGATTGCTGACTTATTATCACAATAGAGCTTCATAGGTTCTTCCCAATTTATCCTCAAGTCTTCTAAGATGATTTTAAGCCATAGCAACTCACATAACATAAACTTGTCCTCCTTTCCTTGAGGAGCCTCCTTTGTGTCCCCCTTCTCGATCTCGGTTTAAAGGCTTCCCATGTAACTTCCAACACTTCTCTCGGGTATGACGAGGTTTATTGCAGTAGGTACACCAGAGACCATCACCTTTATTCTCCACATTTGCTGATCCTTTCTTCTGTTCGGTTACCATGGCCAAAGTCTGATCTCCTTTATGGTCCAGTGCTGAGTTCTCTACTGCTGGACTCTCTAACATGAGACCCCTTCTACTTTCTTCACTTCTCCCAATAGCCACCACTTCATTGAGGCATGGTACCTTTTTCTTCCCCAATATTTGAATCCTAACTTGATCAAATTCAGGATTCAAACCAACAAGGAAATCATAAACTTTGTCTTGTTCGATATACTCCTTGAGAAGTGCTGAATCTTCAGTACATTTGGCTTTTATGACTCTATAATGGTCTAGCTCCATCCACAATGATTTCAGCTGATTGGCATATTCTGTAACAGTCTTGTTCCCTTGTTTTGTTGCCAAAGTTTTCACCTTTACTTCATATACTTGAGCAGCATCTTTGGCTTTAGAGTAGATTTGCTCTACAGCATCCCAAATATCTTTTGCCGAATTAAGGAACATGCAGGTGTCGCTGATTTCTGGAATCATTGAATTCCACAGCCACGCCATGATCATTGAATCTTCTTCATCCCATGTAGTAAACTTGGGATCCTCCTGCTTAGGTCCAGACTCCATCAGGTGACTCAACTTCCCCTTTCCCTTCAACACTGTACGAACAAGTTGGGCCCACTTCAAATAAGTTCTTCCATTTAGTCTATATGCATAATGAATATTTTGCAGTACTCCAGATTGCTGGGATTGGGTATTCCCTGTTTCTGGGTTTGGATTCACAACTTCCTCTTCCCTTGACATCATAGCAAGGAGGTGTGATGCAACAGCAATGCAGGCTGTCGTCTTAGGATTAAGAAAAATGCAGCAGTAATGCAGGCTGCCGTCTTAGGGTTAAGAAAAATGTAGCAGCAATGCAGACTGCCGTCTTAGGGTTAAGAAAAATGCAGCAGCAATGCAGGCTGTCGTCTTAGGATTAAGAAAAATGCAGCAGCAATGTAGGCTGCCGTCTTAGGGTTAAGAAAAATGCAGCAGCAATGCAGGCTGTCGTCTTAGGGTTAAGAAATATGCAGCAGCAATGCAGGTTGTCGTCTTAGGGTTAAGAAAAATGCAGCAGCAATGCAGGCTGCCGTCTTAGGGTTAAGAAATATGCAGCAGCAATGTAGGCTGTCGTCTTAGGGTTTATCGCGCGCAGACATAGCTTCCTAGATCGGAAGCTCTGATACCATCTGGAAAAATAGATTAACTGAAATATGATTTTTTATTATATCAATACAAAGAGATGATATAAGATATATACATGAGACCTAAGCTATTTTAGGAAATATAATAACTCTATTTTATGCTAGGATCCCTTGATATATGGGATTGTTCCTAATTATTCAAATCTGTACAGATTACAAGGAAATATACAAATTTCCTGATTTATTCTTTCCTAAAATACTATTTGATTTCCCACATTATCTTTTGCTAGCTATATAATTTTCCTACAAAATAGAAAGTTGTAGTAAATAAAGTTCTTTAATTTTCTCCATCTGGCACAAAATTAGGCTGGCAAGTATTGACGGGCCAACCCCATATCTGCATTGTGCCACTGCCAACAATAGGAGGCCAAATTTGAAGTCCAAAATCAAGACTTAGAAGGGTTCAAATTCGTACACATTTCCTTAACTCCAAGTGGATGTATATGTTGCTATTGTGATACTGCTAATTTAACTCAAATACATTCTTTTCATGTGATGTGGATAATGTGCTAGCTCTAGTTAAAAAGTAATCTCAATCAAGAAAGATATCAATTGCCAATTTGAGAGACATTTGAACTTTCTGTTGTACATTGAATAATGCTAAACTGTTTTACATGCAAACATATAATTCTCTCACTGTTTGTCAATTTATTTAATGCTTCCAGTTGGAAGTAATGATCTTAAAATGAAGCAGATTAAGATGCAAACGTACATGATAAGCTTGATTGTCCATGCCATGCTTTGCATTCATGATTTGTCTCAACCACTTCACACTTCTACATGTGGAGCAACGAATTTTCCGTGTATTATTGCCTCAACTTTATATTTTTTTGAAAGGAAAATTTCAAGTGTATGACAACAACGTAAATGCATGCCTTAAATGTTTCTAGTATATGGTATTAGTTGAATATTCAATATGAACCAAACATGGTCTCTTCGTCAATCATTTTGTATCCAATAGTTTTCTAAAACCTTCTCTTCTTTATGCATGGATAGAGATAGTCATGGTTGCAGTCACAAACAAGTCAAGTCCTTTGCATTTTGGAAGGATCGAATTCTTCTTACACAAGTCTTCTTCAAATCATTCTCTTGATCTGCAATGGTTTCTGTTTGCCTTGATGTCCCAAAGGGCTATCTAGCAGTTTAAGTAGGAAAAAACCAATCGAAGTGGTTTATGACTCCTATATCATATTTGAACCAACCTTCAATTCAAAGACCTGCTGAGTGAAGTTGAACAAGAATTTGGATTTGACAATACAACGGATGGCCTCAACAATCCCTTGTAGAGATGATATCTTATAGGTTGAAAAGGTCATAAAGGAGAAGATTGAAATGTAGATGGTCAATGACAAATTCAACCTTGTAGAACTAAATGATCAATTTTAATACGACACAGTAGGACATTTGTAAACTTTAACAATCTTGTTTTGTTTTCCTTCCTAGAGAATTGGAAAGATTCAAACTCAGAAACTTATAGACTTAGTTGCGCGTTTCTCATTTTGGTTCTGTTTCTTTCATAAACTCTCCCATGATCTTTTCATTTCAAGTTGTTAGATATATCCGAGATCATAGTTTTACTAGTGCATAAATCTGGTGAATGATCACTTCAGGAGTTCTGTGTTGATGATCTGCATGTGGTCTTGATGCTTGCTTCTTTATATTGATATGTTTGAGAACACAGGAATCCACCTTTCTTTTTCTTGAATTTTTAGAATGATTATTCAGATTCACGATCAAAACCCATCTTTTTGATCGGATAAGTTGGACAAAATTGTTATTTATTTTAGTGACGGTCCATAATACATAAATCTAAATCCTAAACCTCTGTATTGCATATGTTTACATAGGTATTTAAACCATAGCTCATCACATTAGGTAGATAATGTGAGACTTCAAACACATTATAATTGGGCCTTAGAAGTTTTCATGGAGTTTTGCAACCACTTATTTGTAAGCATCCAAACTTTGGGAGAACCAAATATTTAAACTCCATTGAGTATTCCATCTTACATAAAAAACCGAGGAGGAGGAAAAAGAAAAGTACAGTTACATTCATTGGTAAACAGGGCGTTTGTCAAACCTTCAAAATTTCGAACAGTTCATGCAATCAACTGCATATAGTAGGCACAATCAACTTAATATATATTTATCTTCCAAAATATTTATCTAGTTGGAGTCACTGCTTTTTAAATAAAAGATATCACCAAGTTTTCAATTTTACTGTCATAAACAGAAATAAGTAGGAAAAGAAGAAATATATAGGCCATGGGTAATAATAGAACTGTTAGCTGATCTATTTCCACCAAAATGGTCAGTATCTTCTATTACTTTTGTGAAATTCAGGGTCAATACATAGTTGTGATAATCCATGTATTGCTGGCCAAGGAACAACCGAAAAAATCCGAGATGGTGCTGCTTGATCAGGAAACTGGAAGAATCAGTGAACCTTGGGAAATGGGAATGATTTTCCAGTGAAGATAGAAGAGGAAGGAACACCAAATTAACTCAAGATTATTCTGTGATGCTGCAAGAAGGAACTAAATGAGCCCAAGTTATAGAAAAATATAACAAGTGGCTAAAGCTTTTTCAGAACAAATGTGTTATGCGTTCCATGTTAAAAACATACAATGAAATATGCAATAAGGATGCTGTAACCAACAATGTCTATTATCAAGTTTGGCCAATATCCCCAAAACATTAACTGCATTTAATCCCTTCCAAAAGATGATAGGTTGACTGATCCATGTCAACTGAAATTTGATAATGATACTATTGTATTTGTACGTATCAGAATTGATTGACACTGGACAAAAGAAAATAATTGTTTTGGCAATATCTTGTGTTAACATTCTCATACAAGTCAAAATTTCCAACTTCAGTTAGATTATACAGGGAAAAATGCAACAACAAAAGTTCAAAATAAAAGAAAGTTCCTTCTGTACAAATTTGACTCAAATCTATCCGATCTATATTATAACATGATTTACAGCTCTTTCAAGAGAGAAGTGAGGTTTAGAAACTCATCCTCTTTACACGGAATTTTAAGACCACCAGCTGGATGATCATATCCAAACTCTTCTTCTGCTCGACTTAGTAATTGTTGAAAAGAAGGTTGATTTAAGAATGATACAGGAATCACATACCGCCTCATCTTATCTCCAACATAGACTGCAAGATAGCCTTTTGGGACTTCAAGTCGCTTGCGAGTTGCTTTGGCTGCAGAAAATGATGTCTGTCTAATAATACCCGGCATGCGGAAACCCATTGTTATTTTTGCTTCACAAATAAATAATATTTGGAGTAATGTCAAGAGGCTTGTATGAGAAAATTCTGTCGCTTCAGGATGTAAATGAGTCGTGTTGCTTGAGCACAAAAAATAGTGTATATATAGTCGCTGATAGGCCCTCTGCAACTGCAATCCAATTCCACCATGAGTGTTTTTTCACAGCGCTATTGAGGGACAAGGGATCACATGGTGGTGTCTTAGAGATTTCTTTCAAGGATTATGATGCCATACCCCACCATCTGCGATAATGGGCAACAGTTTTACCCACTTGAACTCAAATACATCAGCAATGGAGAAATCTAATGCTTGTGCATTCATATAGCTGTATCTATTTCAATGGTAGACATGCTTCAGACATCACCCATGTTTCTATGAAGAGGATATGTATATATATACAAGTGGCAATAAACAACCTGTAAACCCTGTGACTTGACCACAGCTGATTGGTAGCTCTGAAACAGTGTTTGGAGATGAGAAGAGAACCAACATTGAATACATGATCACGAGGCACTGAGGACCACATTTTTTGTATACATCAAATTCTAGGCAACAAGTATGTAATTTGCATAAATAAAGATTGTGGCTCCTGCCACCGCAAAGAAGTGTCAACATGATCAATTAGTTTTTCTTCTTCAGATATGCATATGTTTTATTTTAAGTGGGGTAATCTGTTCCAGATGGTGGATCTTGAGTTATGTTATCTACTACAACATGTTCCGTTGAATGAGTAGAAAGTCCTCTACGACAACGCCATATGCCTGGTCTCTAATCTGGTCCCATAACTCCAACTCAGTCCTTTTTCACCAATAATCCAAGTAGCCCATGGTTTCTTGCATATCCTTTATATATATACTTGTTGCTACAAGAATTTAGGACCAACACAAATCATTCACATACTGAAGCATTCAAAATTCAAAAGATTATTTTTGAAGTCTTTTCTTGGTCCATTCTCTACTCCAGTCTCTAACAAACTCAATATAAAAATGGGTTTTCATTTACCTCATATCAGAAGGGCATTATTTGCTGCAAATCACGCACCTTCAAAAGTGGTGGATGTAGCAAAGGGCTATTTTGCGGTCTATGTTGGAGAGAAAATGAAGCGGATTGTGATTCCTGTATCATACCTCAACCAACCTTCATTCCGAGAATTGTTGAGTCAAGTTGAGGAAGAGTTTGGATATAATCATCCCATGGGTGGCCTAACAATTCCTTGCAGCGAAAAAGCCTTCCAACATATAACTTCTTGCTTGAATGGGATATAAGTCTCACACTTTAGAAGACTGAGATAGATTAGTGCAGACATTTTGTACAGTAGAATAGAATTAACTATCAGAATGAAGAATTAAGAGTATTCTCTCTTTTCTTGCATTATAACAATGAACTCAATTATTCAAATAGCTTCTTTGTGTTTTCTGTCCATTAGTTACAATGTTCAATTGTTAATTTTCCCCTTACAAAGCATCAGTAAGGCTGCTTGATCTAGGAAAAACTACACTTGGCTGTGCTAATAAATATCAAAGCTGGAACAGAACAGGGGATTACTTGTCAGGGCAGAGCAAGAGTATATTTCATAGGAGTTAGAAACATAGAGTAAGATAATATACTCAGGCAGAAGTTAAAATAATCTTCTTATTGAGCAGAAGTATTTATCCTGTTTTTTTTTTTTTTTCCTTTTAAGATTATACATTTGAAATTAAGATTTTTGAGGAGCATTGGCTACATGCATCAAGGTATTTACAGACACTGAAAGTTTAGCCATGCCTTAAATTCTCCAAAATTCAATGATCAGTTTTTCTCTCTCAGATTAGAGAGCCACTTGTAAAGTGCACTACAATTTTGGATTTCTCATTCTAAATAGTGCAATATCCAAGTGGAAATTGAAGAAACCGAAAAAAATCTATGTTTACTAGCCTATAGGTTATTTGACTAATCTCTTTAAAGATTGCCTTGAATCCTAGTAGCCTATAGGTTATTTCTCATATTAAGAAAGTGGGAAAACTCAAACTTTTGGTTGGCTTGGTTCTATCAACTGGATATTCATCTAGTCAGAGCAACTGAGAAAATCAATAATTTAATTTTAGATTTGGTATCTTTTCGCTACAAGTAATAGTCTACACAACATTTCAAGTTTTGTGTTGCAGGGACTATATAATGGATGCTCCTTTTGCATTATTTTTGTTATGTGGAGGGTGAAACAGATCTACAAACCCACTCCACAGTAGACATTTATTTTACTGTATTAGTCATCAGAAAGAATATTAAGTTGAAGTACTTGAGCCTGTCTGGAACATAAGAAGTAGGCCATTATATTGGTTATGCAATTATTTGCTTATTGGCTGTAAAGTCTCTTTCTGAAGTGCAACCAGGTTGGCATGAATTCTCAAATCTCAAATAATCCTTCACCAAAATCATGTAGACAATATCATGTGACACCTCTTTAGCCTTTGTCTTTCACTAGACCCCAGCAAGCATCAAATTGCCCACCAACCATTGAGTTCATTAGAGAACTGTTTTCACACACACACTCGTATCCATCTATATATACTCATAATCACATTCTCAAGCAATACGAGTCACTCACTAAGTAAGAATTCAAACATTTCATTAACACACAAGCTCTTGCATTCTTTGGTATTGTTCTCTGTGAAATTCATCTCAAAAGCAATGGGCTTCCGCATACCTGGTATTAGAAGATCATCTTTTGCCGAGTCCAAAGCAGCTTCCAAGGCTGTGGAGGTCCCCAAAGGCTATCTAGCAGTCTATGTTGGAGAGAAAATGAAGCGGTTTTTGATTCCTATTTCATACTTGAATCAACCTTTATTTCAAGAATTGTTGAGCCAAGCTGAGGAAGAATTCGGGTATGACCATCCAATGGGTGGTCTCACAATTCCTTGCAGGGAAGCTGCTTTCTTAGACCTCACTTCTCGTTTGAATAGACTATAAATCACACTGAAGGAAACTGACATAGATTAGTTGAGACAAAGTGTACAGAAGACAATTTTGTTTATTTATTTACTATCCTTCTTTTGTAATTGGAAAATGGCACCTACTTGAGAAAGTTATTAACAGAAATGTCATATTTCTTTTTCGTCAATTTTCAATGAATTTTACATATACACTTTCTCTGACAAATTTTATTTATACAAACAGCCCTGTCATGCATATTATCTTAAATGGAGAACTATTTATAATTTGATAGAACACTGGATAATGATTTAGTAACTCAATGATCTTGTGTTTGAACTATTTATATTTAAATAGAACACTGGTATACAATTGCCAGCAGAAGACATTTAAAAATTACTTTTTATTAAATTTTTAATTTTAAAATATATTTTTAGAATATTTCCTTTTAAATAAATTAAGTTATTTATTAACTTAATAATTTAATATTTAAATAATATATATTTATTTAACATAATAATTAAATAATAAACATATTATTATTATTATCATTATCATTATTAATATTAATATTATTTAATAATTTTGATATAATGGATAGTGTTGGATTTTTGGATTAAATACAAAATTCAATCCGACTCATAGGTCAAGTTTTACTCATCTTACATGATATCTAACTCAAAACCCAATCAACTTTCCAATTCTTAACCGCATCATATGCACCAAAATAATGTAACGATACACGAGTTGGTGATGCAAACAACATGTTTTAGGATCACAAGTGATGAACCTAACTAGCAATTGCAAATAGAGTGCAGCAACAACCCCAACAGAAGACATGGAACTGGGGCATAGATTACTAATAAACCCTAAAAGTGAAAAATTCACATAAATACATATCAATTTTAATACATGTATAGTTAAATTATACTGAACACTAAAATTAAATTCATTCAAATATTCCTCTAAAAAATATTGTGGGGACGTATAAAAGCTAGTAAGTGTAAGTGTACGGTAACAGAGTATGCAACAAGAAGTAAATGCTTCAAACACAGTGAGTGTGCATATGTTTCAATTCCTCAACATAATCAACGGAACTAATAATTTTGTTCCTAAACACATCATCCACTTTTGCATGAAAGCAACCGGAAACAAATTAATAAATCTCTACAAAATTGTTTGTTTGTTTGAACTAGATACTATCATGCGTGTCTTTGTTGAGAAGTATTCAAGTGAGAACCGACATGATATTCAGGAAGACATCTTCTCTGCAAGGAATTGTAAGGCCACCCATTGGATGGTGGTACCCATATTCTTCTTCTGCTTTTGTCAGCAAGTCCTGAAATGAAGGTTGGTTCAAGCATCCAATAGGAATTACAAACCGCTTCTTTTTCTCTCCCACATACACCGCAAGATATCCTTTTGGAACTTCAGCACTCTTCGAAACTCCTTGTCTTGCTCTTCTAACACCAAGCAAACCAAAACCCATGGTTTCTATTTCTTGTTTGTTATAAAATGATCTCCAAGACTTGTATGACAAACAAGTGTTTCAAGTTTGATTCTATGATATATTTGAGAGAGCAATGTGGGGGTATATATATGGCGCTTGTGTGGATCACCTTGCTTCCCAAATTGAATGGTTTAAGGGCTATTTGGGTCTGGTGAGAAACAAGGGATCATGAACCATGTGGTGTTGTCTTACATGTCTTTATCAAAAATGAAGATTTTTAAGTAAATGACCTACTTTATAGAAGAGTGGTCAACACAGTTATTGCTTGAAGTTGGAAGAGAATTGTACAACAAAGAACCTAATTATTGATTAAACTATTTAATGCCCTGCTCAAGACATGTACCGGACATCTCACATTTTCTCTTCCTCACACGTATGTTTCATTGTTGACAAATATCTGCACCTTTGCAGTCTACTGAAAACTTGAAGTCAGTGATTGCACTTGTACAATGCAATTTTTTGTCATAACAGCTTGCATGACAAATCCTTGCCAACAGCACGGAAGGTACTTGAGATTGCACTCTCCATCAGGACCTCACAGTTTACTACGGAACAAGTACAAAGCAACATACAATTTAATTGGTGACTTAGACATTGTTTGTTGCATTGGTATATTCCTTTCGTGACATTGTTTTGTATTTGGATCAAGTATTGGAATAATGGAATATACCTTCATTTTCACTCCAAAAACTTGACCGCCAGTAATCTTCAGAGTGAGAATATCACTATTATTAACTTCTACTTTTACTCCTAAAAGTAAATATTGCCACATGCCTTAAGATGGATTTCATTCCATGTATAGTTCATTTTAAATGTAAAACTGAAAACACGAGATGACAAAAGTTCTTTACCTTTAATAAAAGGGTGAAGCCTAAAGCTAAGAAATTATGACATTTATACTATATTCTGTCTGTAACTTCTAAGCCATTTGTCTTGGCTTTCACTGAATCTTAAACCCATCAACTCTTTCTTTTCAAATTCTATCATCTTTAAATGAAAATATTTATAGGTGTCATGACAAATTGCCAGTTGGAATAAATGTTTTGACAATGGGTCATGACAGAAGGCAGACACCGAGCTTAATTTATGTGGAACCTGTACTCATACAGCTCATTGATTGAGAAGCAGCATAAATACATGTCTTATGTGACACTGTTGAACGACATATTTCAATAATCCAGAAACAGATTTTATGTTTATTTTTTAAAATGTGTTATATTTCTTGTATCATTTTTCTTAATTCTAAAAAGATCAGATAAAAAACAAGTGAATAACAATGAAACATGCATGCTGAGGAAAAAACTTACAGAAACGATCTAGGATCATTTAAAAAAATCAAAGGAAAAACATGAATGTTACATTAAATATATATAATGAAAAAAAAAATGTATGATACCATTTTTCTTTAGAGGTTTAGTAAATTACTCTACTTCTGGGATCCATGTGCAAGGTTGTCGACTGAAGTACAATAGTAAATTCAAAATAGTCACAATCAGGTTTAGCAAAACTAATCTATATCGCCACTATAACTACTTAATACACTAGTGCAAAATTGGCAGAAATACCGCAAAAGATCAGTTAGAGGAGGCAGATGCAAAATTGTCGTCATGCTAGTGTTGTATTGTATTTTAATTCATTCACATAGATAAAAAGTACGAAGAATGTAAATTCAGAATAAATCTTTAGTAAGTTATCATTGAGATGTCATGAATTTTTTTACATCATCTGGGATAACATAAAAATGAAAAAAACAATGCCTGCTGTACAATGTTTGTCTCAACCACAACTGCTCTATACGTTACTCCTCTGCAGAACAATATGAACTAAGGCACGTTCAAGCGAGAAGCTATATCTAAGAACACATCTTCCATGCAGGGAATTGTGAGACCTCCCATAGGATGATTATAGCCGAACTCATCTTCAGCTTGTTTTAGCAATTCTTGAAATAAAGGCTGGTTCAAGAATGATATGGGAATCATGAACCTCTTCATTTTCTCCCCAACATAGACTGCAAGATAGCCTTTCGGGACTTCCACAACTTTGCTAGCTGCTTGGCTTGTAAATGATGGCCATCTTCCAAGTAATCGAAAACCCATTGTTTTTGCTTCTACACAGAAGAATAATCTCAGGGGACTAGTAAAAGTTTTCAATGAATTTGAATTCTGCTGATTCAGTATAAGAATGACTTGTGATGCTCAATGACATATATACACACAGATAGATAGATAGATAGATAGATAGATAGATAACTCAAGTCTTTCGCTCTTGAATTGGATGGTGAATGTACTATTTGATAGGGCCAAGTGAGAGACAGGGCTCACTAAGGTTCACATGATATGTCTTTGATTTGCTACCATCAGATTTTACTTGAGATCTAGTAAACTCTGCCTACGGAAAAGTCCTAGGATAGGTTACCATCAGACATGCCCTAGACATTAAATATTGTGTTCATGGTTTCTATCAGCCAACTGGCAGATATTGGTACTCTATAGACCTAAAATCTATGAGTTATTAAATCACATCGGTTGAAGACAAGAGATGTACTGCTTTTAATGATTTTGCCCTAACTAATGCTACTTGTACCTTGAGTATCTGGCATATGGCCGTACAAATGACCCATCCACCATGTTATGTTCTCAGTAGATTGTAACCTGACAGAATTTGTGGTAGTCTAGGAGTTACTTGTAAATATCTGAGTGTCATAAAAATATAATATTTAAATTTGTTGATTTACTCAATTTTCTGAAGTCCAACCAGATAAAAATACAGTTGATAGAGCAAAACTGAAGCTTGTGAGCTTTGCTGAGGTCTTAAAATATTAAGAACATTGGAAACCTATTGAGTTGAGCCAAAGGTATAATCCCTTATTAGGTTAACAAATTTTACATTCCTGGGAGAGCACTGAATTTTTCACTTTTCTTTTTATTTTGATAGTTTTCACTTTAGCCACTGAGCTTGCTGTGATGAGTGAATTTATAGAGAAACTGAATTTATAATGCATGGTTTATGGCTAAATATTTCGATGAAGAAATAAGAGCAGCTACAGGTGTATCTATAAAATAAGCCCAAAGTCTTATGGATATGAAATTTTGTTAGCTAGATGTTATCATAGAAATAGATAGGAACAATAGAGTGAAAAAACCTGTATACTGATAACAAGTTATCAGAAACTATAAAGCGGTATATTATTAATTTTTTGTCATGTTTCAAATGAGAAATACAATTGTGTATTTATACACAATCTCAAGATATTCCCAAAATCAAATAAAAATTACCCAAGATATCATTAATATCAAAATATTCTAACTAACTCCTAATTATCTTCTCATTATCTTTTTATTCCAACAAACTCCAAAACTAATTATTCAGTTTTATTCAACAAAACCCAACATATACCAGGTTCACTATTATCTGCTTTGGCTGGCAGTTTGGAAGTGGCAAGATCTTGTGTATGCTTGGGGGCATTAATTTTAACAATACATGTGTGTATAAAACTTAAAAATCTTTATATCCAGTCCTAAATAAATTGATGCTTCGCTTTGGCTTTAGCAAAATACTATTAGCTCGGCTCAGACTGTGGAGCACACGGGCGATTATGCTTTGAGATTCATTATAAAAATCAAGGCTTAATTAAGTTGCACATAACTGGACATTTGTTGTAATTGATAAACAACAATACTTAGCAAATGAATTCATTGTCATTACAAAAAAACCCGCAATCTTTACATGATAAAAAGATGCCTCTTGTATAAAATGTCTCCACTAATCTATGTCAGTGTCCTACAGTGTGAGATTTATTGCCCATTCAAGCGAGAAGCCATCTGTTGGAAGACATCTTCACTGCAAGGAATCGTGAGGCCACCCATGGGATGATCATATCCAAACTCTTCCTCAGCTTGACTCAGTAAGTCTTGAAATGAAGGTTGGTTCAAGTATGATATGGGAATCACAAACCGTTTCTGTTTCTCTCCAACATACACTGCAAGATAGCCCTTCGGGACTTCTACAGATTTTGAAGCTGCTTGGCTAGATGTAACTGATGCCCGTCGAATAGTTGGTAAACGGAAACCCATTTTTTATGCTTGTTTGAAGGAAGAAGGTCAATATCAAATTTACAGAGAATGAAACCCAAATGTTGACACTTGAGGATGCCAATGGCTTGTGTTGTTTGTGAAGGCAAATGGTAGTATATATATAGTTCTAAAGATTCCCTAGAAACTAAATTCACAGAAAAAGGCTGCTAAAGGGTGGAGGGCATACACATGAGATATCATGTGGTGTTGTCTTTAATGTCTCTGTCATGGACAAAGTTATGTAGAGTGTGTAGCCCCCACCACCTATCAAACAGTGGCAAACATAAAACCTCCACGTCTAACTTGTTACCAAATGAGACGTGTCTAAAGTGAAACCAAACGTTTGTTAATGCATTAATCGGTATTCCATAATTTTGTAAACATGCTTTGGGCATGTTTTCTTAAGGTTGAATGCAGCCTAATTTTGAAGTACAGCACAGGTGGTAAGTAATTTCTGGCAGATGAATTATAAGGCTACAGACTGCGAGAGATCATAGACATGTTTGATATCACACGTCTGTTTTATTTCAAGTGGATTTGCTCCAGAATGTGCGACCACTATGATCAATTATAACATTTTGCATTCACCCCTGAGAAATTCCTCCAAGGCAACACCATATGCCCATGTCTCCCTGTTGGTTCCCTAATTCTTATCTCATAGCCAGCCGCCCTCAATAATAGACATGGACAACAATTTCTTACAAATTCTTTCATCTATATATACTCACGACTGTAAGCATTTAGAACAACAAAAATCATTCACATCAGAAAGCATTTGAAATTCAAAATCTCATATCTTATTTACGAGATCTTTTCACAACATTCTATTCCTAAGTCTCTGCACACACAACAATGGGTTTTCGTTTACCTAGTATCAGAAAAGCATCTGCAAACCAAGTTTCTTCAAAAGTTGTGGATGTGCCAAAGGGCTACCTAGCGGTGTATATTGGAGAGAAGATGAAGCGGTTCCTGATACCTGTATCGTACTTGAACCAACCTTCATTTCAAGATTTGTTGAGTCAAGCTGAGGAAGAATTTGGGTACGATCATCCGATGGGTGGTCTCACAATTCCTTGCAGAGAAGACGTGTTCCTAGATACTATTTCTAGCTTGAATAGGTGTTAGTCCTCGAAGATAAAGCCGACAGGATGTAGACTAAACTTGACAATTTTTTTGTAGCATAATTTCTTGAAAACATTCTCCCCGTTTTTGTTATCATACTCCAAAGTGTAAAATAATGCTAATCTAAATGAGAAGTTCCGAAGATTTTTCTCACATTTTCTCTGTATTTATCAATATGATGACAAATTATTATTGAATAAGAAATTAGCTAAAAATATGTTGTCTCTGACATGAGTTAAACAATACTTTATGATAAACAATTTTTCATTTGTGAGTCAAGCAGCAACACCATCTTCCATGATCATGCTGGTTTTACGGGGTGATATGGTACTCATGAGTTCATTAATTGAATATTCTTCAAACCTTGAATATTTTAATACATTACCCATCTTTTTTTGGATGTAAAACTAAGTATCTTACTCCTGGAATGGGAGATTAAGTTACTGCCCCAGTTCTAAATTTGGGCAAGCAATTGCCCTACTTTTTTATTCGGAAATGAAAATGGAGTAAAAAGTGAGGTATTGTCCCAATGAAGATTTAAGGGAGTGGAATCAGATGATAATGGATGGGATGAAGTAATTTCTCCGTTTTTTCTTTCTTCTGCAATTTTGTTTAACAATTCAAACAAGAATCTATATATATAGATAAACGAAACCTTACATCAAATGCATATGAAATCTCTATAAAAAGGGATGTTATCCATTGAAATAAATAGGAAGAACAAAACTTCATTTCAAGTCCATTACAACTGTCTTGGCAGGGGAAAAATTCTAATTGCTGGGAGAAGTGAACATTGAAATGGATAAACAGAAAAACTTAGGATTTGAATTCATTGTCATTACTCCAAAATTTGGTAATATTAGTTAAAAGTTAGAGAAGATGGCTATTGTACAAAATGTATCTAATAATAATGTAGGTCAGTCTCCTAAAGTGAGATTTATTGTCCCTTGAGGCAAGAAATTGTATGTTGGAACACATCTTCACTGCAAGGAATTGTGAGACCGCCCATGGGATGATCATATCCAAACTCTTCTTTAGCTTGACTCAGCAAGTCTTGGAATAAAGGTTGGTTCAAGTATGAGATGGGAATCACAAACCGCTTTGGCTTCTCTCCAACATACACGGCAAAAAACCCCTTTGGTATGTCTTCAGATTTTGAAGTTGCTTGTCTTACTGTGAATGATGCCCGTCGGATAGTAGGTAAACGGAAACCCATTTTTTGTACTTGTTTGAAAGAAGAAGAACAATCTCAAATTTACAGAGAATGAACACAAATTTTGATGCTTGAGGATCCAATGGCTTGTGTTGTTTTTGAAGGTAAAGGACCCCGTGTATATATAGCTTTTATAAATTTCTCAAGAAACCCAATTCCCAGTACAGATAAGATACCGCGTGGTGCTGTCTTCAGTACTTCTATCAAGCATGAAGTAGGGTTCATGTGTGCAACCCACCTTGTTGAACAATAGCAACATTAAAGCCTCCAACATGTACCCAATTAGACGTGCCTAAGTGAAAGCGTAAGTCTGTTCATGAATTAATTGGTATTCCATTTTTTTACAAACATGTTTTGGACATGTTTTTTTCATGTTACCTAATGTTGAAGTACAGCTGGATGATAATTTCTGGAAGATCAAATTATAAGGCAATGGATAGCGAGAGATCATAGACCATTATATTCCTGAGGTTTGAGATCATACGTGTACTCTATTTCAAGTGGATGAGAATTTCTGGAAGATCAAATCTCAAAGAAACAATTCCAAGGCAATACCATATGCCCTTGCTTTCCTGTCGGTCCCATGACTCTTATCTAAAAGCCTCCACCCTCAATCATTCAAGTAGCCGATGATAATCTACAAAACTTTCCATCTATATATATATTCATGGCTGCAAGCATTTAGGACAACAAAAATAACTCACATCCTAAAGCATTTGAACTTCAGAAACTAGCATCTTATTTACAAGTCTCTTTTTTCTCAACTTTCTGTTCCTAAGTATCACACATACAACATGGGTTTTCGTTTACCTGGTATCAGAAAAACATCCCATGCTACAATCCAAGCATCTTCGAAAGCTGTGGACGTGCCAAAGGGCTACCTTGTAGTCTATGTTGGAGAGAAATTGAAGCGGTTCATGATCCCTGTATCATACTTGAACAAACCTTCCTTTCAAGATTTGTTGAGTCGAGCTGAGGAAGAATTTGGGTATGACCATCCAATGGGTGGTCTCACAATTCCTTGTGGAGAAGATGTGTTCTTAGATATCACTTCTAGCTTCAATAGGAGCTAATTGCATGAAGATGAAACTGACTTAGATGTAGACTATACTTGACACATTTTTGTATCATAGTTTCTTAACTTGAAAATATTCCCTCTCTCCATTTGTGGAATCTTAAATTGTGAAAGAAATTTCATCTGAATGAAAAGTTTGGGAACATTAACTTTTTTCTCATTTTCTCCTCTTATTATCAATATATATCTTAAGGCTAATAAGCTGAAATATTCCGTTCAGAGTCTAATTATAGAATGGGAAATTGTTTTCTTGATCTGACAAAGGAAACAGGAAACAATTCATTTATATAATTGGACTTCTCCCATATGTAGCAGAAAAAGATAAAGATGCATGTAACTATCTGTAAAAAAAGTTAGGATAAAAGAACTAAATTAAATAAGAAATTAGCTAAATATGTTTATATAAATTAAATGACCAGGTACAAGATTTCATCCATATAGCTGAACAAGAAAAATGATTAAACATTACCCGATGAATAAAAAACACAAGCATATGAATGGGACAGTAATTTATATCTGCATATTTTGCCACATCCACTTGCACTTCGTGTTCATTGGGTTCTATCCTCGTGTAGCTTCACCAGATACATCTATTCACCCGTAATGTCCCATTTCTTTATGATGAACGAATTTTCACCAGAGTCAAGCAGCAGTCCCATCTTCACATGGCCAATTCAAATAGTGTAATTTTTAAAAGATCGGTTAAATCATATATCGACATATAATTGGAACTAGATTAAGATCGATGCTTGCATGGTTCTTTAACTATATATATATATATATATTTTTTTTTTTTTTTTTGCACAAATCACACAAATTTTGACCTTATTTCCTCCTTTACTCTCTAACGTCCAATTAGATTGACTAGCCTTTATCTTTTTTCTGTCTTGCTTGAACAAAGCACGTGATACTTCAACCTAGAATACAAATATTATAGACTTGTTGAGTCAGGCTGAGGAAGAGTTTGGATATCATCATTCAATGAGTGGCATCACAATCCCTGGTCACATGAAAATGACCTGACATGAGAACAAATTTCATCCATAAAATTCTTAGATCAACTTATGGAGGAGGCCCCATTTCTTTATGATAAAAGATTCTTCATTTCTGTGTGTCAAGCATCATCACCGTCTTCACATGGTCAAGTTTGTTGGTTTTACGGCCACAATATGTGATATGCTAGAGATGGGTTCGCTAATTGAATACGGTACCCTTAAACCAAAGAATACGGTACCCTTCATCCCCAATACTTTTAGCCATAGCCACCTTGCTGAAAAAGAAAGAAATTGCAGAAAGGGAAAAAGAAAGTAGAGCAACAGGAGAAAAGGTAAAACTTTTATGTAGCAAAATTAAATAACCTATTTTAAATAGGTTTTAAGAATACAACATAAAAGAAATTAATCCCCAGAGAAGCAGTGGTTACTGATAAAAACAGCAACCGAAGAATTAAACGGTTTCAATATCCTCCCTCAAGTTCGATGATGCATGTTCATTATTCTAAGCTTGGAAAGGATCGATATGAAGGAGGATGAATAGTGAAGTCCTTTGGTGAAGATATCAACGAGATGGTCGTTTAAGCGAAGCAAGTGGAAGGGATGTGCCCATAACTTCTCTCCAACCACGTGGCCGCTCGTAAAAAATAGAATTTTGTACCAGTGTAAAGAAGACTTTTTTATTAGATCCAAGCCACATATAAGATAAGTAGAACTATTTATATTAATTGTTAAATAATTGATATAGTAACTATTATTATGTTGATTTTTAACATAATCATCATAGAAAGTCTCAAAGTTAAATTTTTTTTTTATATAGTCATATTTCTTACAAATATTTTATTAAACTATTTTAATGTAACAACAAATTTTGAAAATTAAACACAACTATTATTTACATATGGAAAATAATTAAACATAAAATATAAATAATTTTACTTAAGTTAGATGAAATTATTCACACAAAAAAATTCATAATAATAATTGCAATCTAACATATATTAAAACACTTTATTAAATTCAATCATAAAATAAAAACTAATGTAAAAAAATGAGACAATACTTTCATATATTATATTATATTTATTGTAAATGAGGAAGAAGGAAGATTGGAAGAAGTGGTAATGCAAGCACGAGGAAAACAAAAGTAGATAAATGTGATTAGGAGACAATGAACAAAAAAAGAAGAAGTTGAGTGGAGTTCTTTTGTATGAAAGAGAAAAAATGAAAAATGAGGAAGATAAAGGGGATAAAATGAATGTTGAAAATATAAATATTGACACTTTTTATAACGGTTCAATTTTGAACCGTCATAATAAATATTGTTATATCAATTCAATTTTGAACTATTTTAGTAAATACTTATTATAATGATTCAATTTTTAACTAACATAAATAATGATTTATATTTAAAATTGACAAAAGTCACTTTCTATATTGGTTAAAAATGGAACCGTTATAATAAGTACTTACAATGACGGTTCAATTTTTAATCAACATAAAAAGTGACTCATTTAAAATTGACAAAGTCACTTTTTATGTCGGTTCAATTGAACCGACATAAAAAGTATTCAAGTTTATAATTTACAAAGTCATTTACTATGACGGTTTAAAATTGAATCAACATAGAATGTACTTACTATCACGGTTCAATTTTAAACTCATATAGAAAGTACATTTTATATCAATGCAAAGTTGAACTGTCATAAAAATTAAGTTTTATTTACAAAATTATCACCGTCTAATTTATTATAAAGGGTGAATTAGAATCGTTATAATAAATCGTCATAAAATCTTATTTTTGTATTAGTGTGAGCAATATGTCTTACTGATTGGTTGTACAATAAAGGACAAATAGAATGGTAGGATGAATTTGAAAATCCTATAGAATATAGTCGAGCCACTGGAGCTCACATGTAGTGGTAGCAAGGACAAAGAAGAGGATCTAAAAATTGTGTTTTGTTTCTTTGATTTCTAGGAAATCAAAGAAGAGCCAAGGAAGATGTAAAAACATGTGGTGGAACGTCTTGTATTGGGACAAGTTACCCAATCAGAATCACTAAAATTTCAACTAGATTTCTGACTTAGAACTGAAAAATAGACCTTATGCGAGATTGACTTTGTTATATCTTAAGATGTGTTGAGCAATCAGTTGATGATGAACAATAGGTGCCTGCACAAATTGATTAAGTAAGTGAACAACAAAACAAATGAAAAATTCTAGTATTAGTTAAATGCAAAAGTTTTCCTATTAGTCTGCGAAATGAATTTGCTTCTTGCAAAAGATCATTTGATTCAAAAAGAGTTTTAGTGTTACTCATGATAGGGGTCAGACACGGCTTACTGTTCAACATTCCAATCTCACTCAAGATATCTAGAGAGTATTTCCCTTGGCATAACTGAATCCCTTGTTATGATCTAGCAACCTCAAACCCAAAGAAATATTTTAATTCTCCAAGACCTTTGATCCTAAAAGTATTGTGCAAAAAATTTTTAACTCTTTGAATTTCAATTAATGAGTCTCCTGCTAAAATAATGCCATCAATGTAGACTAGCAAAAAAGTAAAAACATTAGCCTTTTTATTAATAAAAATAGAATGGTCAAACTTGGATTGAATAAAACCAATAGAAGTGAGAGATAAGGATAACTTGGCAAATCATTGCCTGTTGGCCTGCTTAAAACCATTTAGGGACTTAGTGAGCCTACAAACCTAATTAGTTTTGACGATATTCAAGCCAAGGGGAGGCAACATATAGACCTCCTCATTAAGATCACTATGTAAGAAGGCATTATTCACATCTAATTGGTGTAAAAAACAATTTTTAACAGTTGCAAAGGCTAAAACAAGTCTACTAGAGTTGAGTTTAGCAATAGGTGAAAAAGTATCTAGAAAATCAATTCCCTCGAATTGAGTCCACCCTTTAGCAACTAATCGAGTTTTATATCTTTCAATAGATCAATCAGCCTTATGTTTGATTTTATATACCCATTTACATTTTATGGGTTTTTTTCCTTTAGGAAAACCAATTAAATACCAGGTTTTGTTATCTTGAAAAGCCTTTATTTCCTTGTTCATAGCCTTAATCCACTCATATTGCATCCTAGCTTCATTATAAGTTTGAGGTTCTTTACTATAAGATATGGCAAGGGTGTAGTTCATGTGATTTTTAGATAGTGAATCATAGGATAAAACAGAGGTAATAGGATAAACAATTTCATATATAGTTTTATTATTTTTTAAAAGAAAAGAACTAGAACTGTTAACCTGATAATCTCTTAGGTATTCTAGAGGTTTTCTATCTTTGTTAGATCGTCTGATATCCTTTGCATTTTCTTTATTTTTACTTTTATATTGTTCTCCTTCTCCTCTTTTGTCATGTTTATCCACATGATTATCAGAATCCTCTCTATTATGAGTGATGTCGTTAACATCATGATTATCTCTATAAGTGTAACTTCTGCATGTATTGTTCCTTGTGTGTTCTCTAACAATATCATTATAGTAGTCAAAAGACTCAAGAATGAAATCAAAATCATTTAAAACATTGTTAGAATCATAATCAGCAGTGGGAATTTTGTAAGAATTTTTTTTTCATAAAAGACAACATTTTATTTTTGAAAATCTCCCGAGTTTTAATATTCAAAAGAACATATCCTTTTATCCCTATTTTGTAACCAAGAAAAATACATTTTCTGGATCTAGGTTCAAGCTTTGTCCTATTACTTTCAAGAGTAGAAGCAAAACGTAAAGAACCAAAAACTTTCAGATGAAGACATTCAGGTGATTTTTTGTAAAGCAATTCAAAAGGGGATTTTCCATAAGTGACAATAGAAGGTAGTCTATTTATCAAATAAATGGCATAGGTAACAGCATAACACCAATAAGCATTAGGCAAATTACTTTGGAAAACAAACTTTTAGTCACATTAATGTGTTGATGTTTCATTTCTCAATATATTGTTGAGGAGTTCCCACACAACTTTTTTATGAATAATACCATAACTATTATAAAAAATAGTGCATTCAAACTCTTGCTCGTTATTAGACCTAATGATCTTTATATTTTGGCCTCATTGATTTTTTACATGAACAACAAAATTCTCCTAAAGAGTTCTAGTTTCACTTTTAGTGCACATTAGAAAAAAACCAAGTGTGTTTAGTGTAATCATCTACCACAGTAAAGAAATACCTATGACCATGAATGTAAGGGATGGAAATGGGACCCCATATATCAACATGTATCCTATCAGAAGAAGTGTTACTTTTTCGAAAAGGGAGCAATTAGAAAAATGAAAGATATCACATGAATAGTGAACAGTAACAAAAGAGTCATTAGGGAGTATGGCGTGAATAGGTTTTATTCTATAGAAGGTAACAAAATTATTTTTAATAAAGGTCACATGATCAATGGTCCCAGTCTCAAGAATCCAAGAATTTTTACCTTGCTTAGTTTCTAGCATGGGAACTCCATTATTGTTGTTTTGGATGTGGTTTATCTTATGACTAGTATTTGTTGGAAATTTTAAGGGTTTTGTGTATATGTATTTCTGATATATCATGTGGGTATGTTTCTATTCATGTACTCTATGTATATATAGAGTAAAAATATTACAAAATATTAAATATTCATAATATCTCAATCATAACTGCCTAAATCAAAATAATAACCTAATGTCTTTTTACCTTCTCTCTTAAAAGATAATAAAATCTCTTAATACCTAATTTAAATAAAAGATAATGAAGTAATATTTTTAACATTCCTCCTTACTTTAATATCTATTTATTTGAATTTGATATATATTTTTTTCTTTTGCTTATAATTTTTCCTCCTTTTTTGTGTTATACTTCTTGTTATCTTCTTTCTTGTATGAGATCACATTTCCATTCTTCACTTTCTTCATCAACATATTTCTTCCTTTATCAACTTCATCTCCTTTGTTTCTTTCAAACTTAATGGTAGTACTGTTGACTCTTTGATAGCCGTTGAAAATGGTTTCTTCATCTACATCTTTATTTTCCTCCTTAACATCAAATTCTTTCAAGAAATCTTCTTCATGCTTTTTCTTTGACTTTTCTTTTATATCTTCATTTGTAATTATCTCTTCTTTCATCAAAGCTAAAATGAAAATTTTTCCTTTCATGTGAACTTTGAATATTTCCAAGTTATTTGTATCTTTAATCACACAAAGTTTGTGTTCAAAAGACACCTTATAATTTTTCTCCAATAATTGAGCAACACTTAACAAATTATGATTTATATCAGGAACATATAAAACATCAATAATCAATTTGATACCCGAATGACTTTTAACTGCAATTGTTCCTGTACCTTTCACATTCATTTCTTCTCCATTACCAATTCTCACTTTAGAAATATGTGATTCGTTGAACTCTTTGAAAAATTTTCAATCATGAGTCATGTGGTTTGTACAACCACTGTCTATTAGTCAACCTGTGGATTTGTTAATTATAGAGCATGTTGATGCAAGCAGAAGTACCTCTTCTTCTCTATCCTCTATAACTTGAACGACTTCCTCTGGTTGTGATTTGCATATCTTTTCTATATGTCCCAATTGACCACATTTGTGAAATTTCACATCAGGTCTCCACCAACACTTGTTGGGTGTGTGATTATTTTTCTTGCAATAAGGACAAACAAAAAATACTCGTGATTTTGTACCTTTGTTGTTCTTGGCTTGGACAGAACCTCCATCATGATATAGTAAAGAACCTTCACTAGCAGCATGATCTCCTCTCATCCATCTTCGTTGCTCTTGTGTTTGTAAAGCATGTAGCACTTCTGTCAAAGTAATATTAGACAAATATTTTGTATTTTCCAATGAAACAATTGATGCTTCATATCTCTCTGGCATAGTTACTAGAATTTTTTCAACTATTCTAGAATCAGAAAATTCTTTGCCTAACAATTTTATTTTGTTAGCAATACCTAACAATTTGTTTGAGTATTCATTAATTGTTTGAGACTCTTGCATCTTTTGTATCTCAAATTCCCTTATCAAGTTTAGAACTTTTATACTTCGAATTTTCTCATCTCCTTCATATTGATCTTTCAAATAATCCCAAATTTCTTTGGGTGACTTTAGCGTCATGATTCTGGTGAGGATCATTTGTGAAACACCAGCAAACAGACATGTTTTAGCTTTTGCCTTTCTCATTTTTCTTTCTCTGTGAGATTTCATTTGAGCTATAGTGGGATTTTCAGGTAGTGGATCAACATTATAATCTTCTTCTACAGCTTCCCATACATTCAATCCTTCAAGATATAGGATTGGATTCTCATAGCTCATAAGTCATAATTTTTGTCACCAAAAACTGGAATAGTGACTTGTGAAAAAAAAAAATTCTCCTTTCATTGTGTCGAACCAAAGCTCTGATACCAATTTGTTGGAAATTTTAAGGATTTTGTGTATATGTATTTTTGATATATCATGTGGGTATGTTTCTATTCATGTACTCTATGTATATATAGAGTAAAAATATTACAAAATATTAAATATTCATAATATCTCAATCATAACTGCTTGAATCAAAATAATAACGTAATGTTTTTTTACCTCTCTCTTAAAATATAATAAAATCTCTTAATATCTAATTTAAATAAAAGATAATAAAGTAATATTTTTAACAGTATCGTGTGTTATCCAAAAGCTTTAAAAGCTTTTGCATTTGTGCCGAGGTGAACTGATTGCTCTCTTCTCTGATAACTTGACTATTAGGCTAAAACTGTTGAGAGTCATACTTTACATTTAAATTGCACACTTGTTGATTTCCTTTATCTTGAGTGTCATTCTGCTGGTTACCCTTTTCTTGATTGTTGTTGTAGAAATCTGTCTTCTGTTTATACCATGGGGTACCATGCTTACTGTAACATTCTTCATTTGAAGTCCATTATAACTGCCGTGGCATGGATAAAATCTCATGTAAGATTGGAATCGTCCCATATAAGTTGATGCTTTTCGTCGACCATAGCAAAACACTATTACTCTGCCCTACCCTGGCCTGACTGCGAAGATCTTGGTTTATTAGGCAGTGGAATTTGTGAAAACAATCGAATCTTCTTTTTTTAGCATGCAACCTTCTAGTATCGTGTACCATTCTAATTGCAGGGAGAACTGAAAATTGTAATGATAAACAGAAATTGAAGTCATCGTCATTACTCAAAATTTCGTAGTAAATTTTACAAGTTAGAGAAGAAGCCTATTGTACAAAAGGTCTCTACTAATCTATGTCAGTCTCCTAAAGTTTGAGATAAATTTAATGTCCACTCAAGCAGGATGTTATATGTTGGAAGACATCTTCACCACAAGGAATTGTGATGCCACCCATGGGATGCTCATAACCAAACTCTTCCTGAGCTTGACTCAGTAAGTCTTGGAAGGAAGGTTGGTTCAAGTATGATAAGGGAATCACAAACCGCTTCCTTTTCTCACCAACATACACTGCAAGATAGCCCTTTGGGACTTCTACAGATTTTGAAGCTGCTTGGCTAGCCATGACTGATGCCCGTCGGATGGTTGGTAAACGAAAACCCATTTTTTCTGCTTGTTTAAAGGAAGAAGAACAAGTAAAAGATCTCAGATTTTAGAAGAATGAATCTAAATAATGATGCTTGATGAGCCTGCTACTTGTGTTGTTCGTGAAGGCAAAAGGATGTGTATTTATAATCTCTAAGATTACTTGGAAACCAAATTTCAAGAGGATTGGTTAATGGATGGAGGCATAGAGATGAGGTATCATGTGGTGTTGTCTTAGACATTTCTATCATGGATAAAGTTGTTTAAACGTGTATAACCCCACCTTCTCAAACTATGGCCAACATAGAGCATGCACTTGCAACTGAATGAGACTTGCTATACTAAGCCCAAAGTTTGTTCATGCAGTCAATGTTACTCCATAATTTTGTTAACATGCTTTAGACATGTTTCCATCATTTTGATAGTACAGATTAATGTGGAAGTACAGCTGGTAACTAATATCTGCCTGATGAATTATAAGAACAGGGATAAGTATAATATAGACCATGCATTGTATTTCTGAGGTTTGTGACCATACATCTGTTTTGTTTCAAGTGGATACTCCAGAAAGTGGGACTTCTATTAACTATTGTAGGAAATTAGGTTGATTGTTGAGAAATTCCTACAGGACAGCACCGCATGCCCTTGTCTCCATTGATCCAATAACTGTTATCTCATAGTCCTCCAACAATTAGTCAAGTAAACAAATTGCATATCCTTACATTATATATTCATGGTTGCTACCACTTGTGTAAGGTAATTTTTTTTTTCTTCTAATTTATTTAATTTCTCAAAAATGGGAATAATTTTTTTTTTACAATATTATTTCTTTATGACAATGAACTTTAAAATTGATCATGCGTTAATGAATATATATAGATGTGTCGAACATATTCATACGTATACATCCATAATCATAATATATTATTTTTCAAAATAACTAATCCAACAAGGATCATACTATAATTATATAAAGTTTGTACCATTAAACGATTAGAATTTAATTTTAAATTTATACATCTCAAAATAAAGTAAATCCTAATCAGAGCAGGTACCCAAAATTCCTAACTTATACAAGATCATATCCCTCCCGGAGGGCAGCATTCTTCCATACATATGTATATGATACTCAATTAAACTGTGGTTCCTCCACCACAATTGTTCCATCATTACCTGAAATATAACAGTAAGGATGAGTTTCCTTTTCTCATCACTCCAGAACACTAAACCGAAAATTTTTCCAACCTCTACAATCTAAAACCATATGTAACATTTATAGTCAAACATTTCATTTTTTTTCAATAAAGTATCCCACACAGAAATTTCAAACAATTTCCACAAATCACATTACTCAAACTAAAAACACACAACACATGTTTGTGTTCCATTCGTTCATTTTTGCCACATTTGAAATGCTCATGCACCTAGGATACACTATCAATCCCATCTTTCAATCCATGAAAGGATTACACATAAGTACAGACAACTCTTACAAACATAACAAAATTGCACACGAGCATAAATGGCTCACAGAAGTATAGATAGTTGTCGGTTGATCTGCGCATCACAGATACAATGCTTACGCATAACGATCCCTTGGCAAAAAGACAAAGTCAAAGAGTCAAGTCGGGAGTATAGAGCATGGCCAAACAATGCACTCTATATTTCCCCAAGATCAATCTGATCTTCTCTTATCTCCTAAGCCCCCGGTGTATCTCCGTACCATCCACACACATATCTCGTCACTAAGTGACACCACCAACTCTTTAACAACAATATATTTGGTAAGAACAAACTCTACATCATACAGACCATATCACTATAGACATAATACCCTATTTTTAGATGACCAACATCTCTGACTTAGACTCAGCACATAGTACAAACATCTTATAGACATGATTTTCACTAACTACCATGATTATGAATGCATTAACTATTCATAACGTTTCTTTATACCATTCTTATTAAGATTTATTTATGTTTCATCAATTTCAAAAATTTGACAGAGTCTCCTTTGTAATTTGGACATTTTCCAATTTACAAATACATTCAAATCAAATTTATAAACACATTTTTCTGCATCAAACAAGAACAATAAAAATTTGCCGAGAGTCGGACACTCTCGGACTCAGCACACATTGCGATCCATCAAATTTTCTAAACTCTTGTTATTCTAATCTTGTGTCCCAAAATATCTCATCACATTATCATTCTCACATCATACATACTCATAAAATAAATAATAGGTACAGAACTAAAGTTTTGTTTATACTTCTCTAGGAAGAAAAGTTTATCATAAGCATTAGAAAAGTGTAAATTTGGAAAAATTCTTTGTCATTTAAACTAACTTCAAATTCTATGAAATTTTCCAGTCCAAAATACATATATTCTAGGATTATAATAAAAATTATAACTCAAAATTTAAAGATTTATAAGTCATTCAAAACTTTCCTCCCTTTTTATACATTTTGAAGATTCCACTATCAGGGCATTACTCAAAGATATATTTTTATAAAATAAATTAATGCTCATAAAATTATGAAAATAAATATGCTTAACATATATCTACAATCACAACTATGATAAAAATTTCATCTCAAAAAAACTTTAATTTCAATTTTATATGATTTTTCAAAGTTGTTGAGCGGACATAACAATTCTGTTTCACCCAACTCAAAACCTATTTACTTCCAAGATTTTTCATCGAAAATTCACTGGTCAGAAAATTTTTAAATAAATCACACACGAAATAGACATATAAAGGAACATGTAATCAAATTTTCAGAATTAAATACCAAGTAAATATTTTTACATAATTTCCCAAAGATTCAATTCACATGCAGATTTTTGTCCAACAACATCTCTCAACACATATTTCATCATCTTCCTCTAGAAAAATCCAATTTAAGTGATTTTTATGGCTAACTCTAGGTTTTAACATCCAAGGAATCCATTTCTAAACTCTAAAATATGAAAGGAGCATTGTAGAGTATCTAAATATACTAGAATAGTCATACGAAATTTTTATAAAACATTTTAATTTAGTTCCAATTAATGTAGAAGTGAGATAAATGATGGTTTAGCCTAGGGTTGATGACAAGAAGACTCTCCTTACCTCAAATGAAGCTTTCAAACAAGAAAATAGAGATCCTTAGTTCAAGAAAAGTTTGTCTCCTATAAGCATCAAAATGACCATATATTTGAGATTAAGAAGATTTTAGGAGATAATATTGAAATCCAATGCTTTAATTTCATGGATCTTACTCTTAATTGCAAAAAGGATGAACCAAAATGGTGTGAGCAAGCAAAATCAAGCTTCTCTTCTTCCTCCCGTGCTCCCAAAATGACTTCCGTATGTGAGAAAGAAAATTGGTATTTCTCTTCTTTAAATTTAACCTCCTTTCCAAAATTACCCTCACTTACTTTTTCACTTACCAATTAAATCCTTTCATCAATGGGAAATTATATTACTAATTTTGCTTAATGATATTACTCTTATTATTATTACTTCATTTTAAACTCAATTTTAAATTTATCTATTTCACTCTATTAAAAATTTCATAATATATATATATATATATTATTTATTAATATCTTTTAAAATTATCAAGTCTTAAAATAACTCATAATACTATTTTATTAAAGTTAATGACAAAATATTTTATTATATTAATGAAATATTTTTGGGAAATACTTGGATGTTACAACTTGGACCAACACAAGTCCTTCACCTCTTGAATCCTTCCAAGCCAAAAAACTTGCATTTTGTTTACAAATCTCTTTCTCAACTTTCTCGTCCCAAGTATTAACACATTACAATGGGTTTTCGTTTACCTAGTATCAGAAAGACATCAATGGTGCAAACCAAGCATCTTCAAATTCCGTGGATATGGCAAAGGGCTGATTTGCAGTCTAAGTTGAATAAAAAATGAAGTGGTTTGTGATCCTCATATCATCTTTGAACCAACCGTAATTTCAAAATTTGTTGACTCAAGTTGAGGAAGAATTTGGGTTTTAAAATTGGATGGGTGGTCTCACAATTCCATGCCAAGAAAATATGTCCTTAGATGTCGCTTTATCTTTGTTGTGCTCACCAATGAGAAGTTTAGGAAACAATGAATCTTTTTCTCTTATTTTCTATTATGTATCTATCTGTTAAAAATTGACACAAACTTTTAGAATTATGTAGAAAACATATGTGTATATTAGTTACTAGTAGAAACTACAACATGATTCTAGAAAAATAAAAGAAGAAGAAGAAGAAATGTGTAGAAATAAAATAGTATAGAAACAATGAAGTTAGTAGAAAATTCTAGAATCTTGTAAGTAAAACTTATAAATAGGCATGAAAGGAGTTTTTGTATGTGTGGTGGAAAACACTATCAATCCAAAAGCTTCTTTCTATTAACCCTTAATCCTTCTCTTGTCAAAATCCCTAATTATCCTTCTCTTCGTATAAGCCTTTTTCATTTTAAATAAAACCTTTGTTTTCCTTCTATTACTTCAACCCACTTCTAAAATACTAACACTATTTGTTGGAGGCACTAATAAGTGGAATGTTCAATTTAGAATCAGTAAGTGTTAACTGGAGTTTTTTTTTCTATACTCAAAAGTGAAAATCAAATAAGGATTATTGTATACTCTTCAATACCGTAGCCATTTGAAGCTATTACCCTTTTATTTTTGGAGCAAAATAAAAAGTTTATGTATCCATATATTTCTTCCATCTGTAATTTCTGTTTAACAAATCAAACAACCATGATAGGAGATCTTTCTTCCTTATCAAATTGAAATTGTGTGGTCTTCGTCCAACAGTCTTTATAAAGATAACCTAAATCATACGTCAAATGAATTTGAAGTTTTTTAGCTGTGGATGTTATCCATTGAAACTAATGGCAACAATAATCCCTCGTATTAAGTCCATTACAGCTGTCTCAGCAGTTGATATGGGTGAAATCTCGTTTATGATTGGGAACCTGAACTTTAATTTTGCACATGTGTATAAAACTTAAAATTCTTTAAAAATTGTCCCAAACAAATAGATTCATATTAGCTCTGCCCAGACCTGACTATGAATCTCGTGGTCTGTAAAGCAGTGGATTTTATGAAAACAATCTACTCTATTGTTTTAACAGCAAGCAACAATACTGTCTACAATTTTAATTGCAGGGAGAAGAGATCATAGTTATGGATAAACTGAAAAATTAGAAATTCAATTTGTTCTCATTACTAAAAAATTGGTAATAATTGTTACAATAGTTAGAGAAGGTGCCTATGGTACAAAATGGCTCTACAATATATCAGTATCCTAAAGTGTGAGATTTATTGTCCCTTCAAGCCAGAAGTTGTACGTTCAAAGACATCTTCGCTGCAAGGAATTGTGAGGCCACCCATGGGATGATCATGTCCGAACTCTTCTTCAGCTTGACTAAGCAAGTATTGGAATGAAGGTTGGTACAAATATGATATGGGAATCACAAACCGCTTGTGCTTCTCTCCAACATATACCGCAAGATAGCCCTTTGGTACTTTTGCAGCTGCTTGGCTACTTGTGAATGATGACCTTCGGATACCATGTAAATGGAAACCCATTTTTTGTGCTTGTTTAAGGAAGAAGAGCAATGCCAAATTTACTAAGAACGAACCCAAATGTTGATGCTTGAGGATGCCAATGGCTTGTGTAGTTTGTGAAGGCAAAAGGATAGTTATATATAGCTTTTAAGATTCTCTAGAAACCAAATTCTTGGTGAAAGTGACTGCTAAAGAGAGGAGGGTGTACATGAGATATCACGTGGCACTGTCTTCAGTATTTAGAGTGGGGTACAAGTGTGCAGCCCCACCTTATCAAACAATAGCCAACATAAAGACTAAACGTGCGTGTAATGATGTAAACCAAATGAGACGTGCCAAATTGAGAACCTAAGGTCTATTCATGCATTAATCGGTATTTCACATTTTTGCAAACATGCTTTGGGCATGTTTAGTTCACGTGGACTGATGTTGAAGTACAGCTGGATGGTACATTTTGGTTGATGAATTATATGGCAACGAATAGCGATAGATCATACATCTACTTTAACTCAATTGGATTCGGTTTGAAAGATGGGACTTGTACTATACCTTCTATAACGTGTCACATTGATCACTGATAAAGTCCTACAAGGTCACACACATGACCCTTGTCTCCCTGTTGGTCCCATGAATCTTATCTCACAGCCCTTCTCCCTCAATCATTCAAGTAGCCAACGATATCATACAAACTTTTTCATCTCTATATATATATATATATTGATGTGCGCAAGCATGTAGACAACAAAATCAGTACCAACCTATTCATCATTTGAACATTGAAAGCTAGCATCTTGTTTCCAAATCTCTTCTCTCAACTTTTTCTTCCGAAGTATCAACACACAAAAAAAAAATGGGTATTCGGTTAGCTGGTATCAGAAAGGCATCACGTTCTGCGATACAAGGATCGTCAAAAGTCTTGGATGTGCCGAAGGGCTACCTTGCAGTCTATGTTGGAGAGAAAATGAAACGGTTTGTGATCCCCGTATCATACTTGAACCAACCTTCATTTCAAGATTTGTTGAATCTAGCCGAGGAAGAATTCGGGTATGACCATCCAATGGGCGGTCTCACAATTCCTTGCAGAGAAGAGGTGTTCTTAGACACCACATCTCGCTTGAATAGGTGTTCATGATGATGAAACTGACTTAGATACGTAGAGACTAATTTTGACCAATTTTTGTATCATAGTTCGTATCTTGAAAATATTCCCTTCCATTTTTGTTATCTTACTTGAGGAATTGTATAAAACTGTTCATCTGAATGAGAAATTTCGTACATGAACCTTGGTCTCACATTTTCTCTTCATTAATCAAATTGAAAAAACATGCTCGATGTTTTAAATTCTTTATAGAGGACAAATCCAAAACTTTTTTTTTATCTATCACTCGTAGTGAAAGAAAAAAAAAAAACATTTTCATTTTTCATTTATAAAGTTGATTCCCCTTGCTTTAGAAAAAGAGAAATTAAACATAACTATTTGAATATATATATATATATATATATATTCTAATATTATTTCATAAATCAGTTATTATTTATGAAAATATAATTATATAATTGCAAAGAGATAAAACACTAAAAGAAATTATAGAACATAATATCAAGAATTGGCGTCGAGAATGAATGATTGCACAATTGATTTAGTTTACCTGAGATATGCATTATTGACCAAATTTGATGATACAAGAGCACATTATTACTGGCAAATTTTGATGGCATCTTCGCATGATATATTTATTTACAACTTTGCCAATTAAATGGTTAATGAAGCATGGAAGATTTTCTAAATCTAACCAGTTCTGCTGGCGAATTCCCCAATACTCACACTTTTTCTTTAATATTGTTTTGCATTGATGCCATATTTGTCTAATTCTTTGTCAGATGCGATAGGAAATTTTTAAGGTTTTTGTGTATCAATAAAAACCTCATAATACCTACGTTAAATAAAAGATAATAATGCAATATTCTCCACAAAACACATATTTTATGAGGTTTATTGCTGATATAATCACCTTTTCAGTTCATTCACTCACCTCCTTCAAGCACATTGAACAAAATCTTTCAGCAAATAAAGATAAAGTATATGAGTGGACTCTGTCTGCAGGCTAATCAGACCAAGCCAAATTAATTCACTTTAATCTGACCTTACAACTGCCCTTCACTCTTCAATTAAATTATATTACTTTTGTGCTTTCCGTACCCTTCACAAGGACGAGGGGTGCAAGCTGTTATGATAAACAATTGCATTGATTTTGATTGGAGACATTGTTGTGTGCAGCCATTGAATTACATTGAAGCTACCAGACAGCTAATATAAGGATAATTATCAAGGGTTTTAGCTGTCATACAACCATTGTAACGATGCATACTTTATTTTTATTAATGCATGAAGTGACCAAGAGAGATATGTGAGATGTCTCGGCATTTCTTGAACACAAGAAGAGCATTACATTGGCTATAATTATTAGATTTCTTGCTGTACAAATCTCTTTCATTGTTAACAAATAACTGTTTTGGCCGACTCTTCTATGTACAAAGTAGGTTGTGAACTCTAAAATATTTAGTAAATTTTGATGATGACCTCTAAGACAAGAACACATGGTTCATCAAACCTTGTCCCCCACATAATCCATTAACCATTCAATTTTTTAAAGAAGATTGTTCACACAGGCACTATATATATGCTCATTGTCGCACTTTCAACTAAAGTATCAGGCTTGAAATATTTGTTTGTCATACAAGTTCTTGGATATTATACTATAGTTGTGCGGGTGCAGTAAAAATCAAGAGAAACCATGGGTTTCCGTTTACTTGGTGTTAGAAGAGCAAGACAAGCTGCATCAAAGGGAGAAGAGGTCCCGAAAGGGTATCTTGCAGTGTATGTTGGGGAAAAAATGAAGCGGTTCATGATTCCAATTGGATACTTGAACCAACCTTCATTTCAGGACTTGCTAAGCTTAGCAGAGGAAGAATTTGGATTCCATCATCCCATGGGTGGCCTTACAATTCCTTGCAGAGAAGATGTCTTCGTAAATATCATGTCAGCTTTCTCTTGAATTGTTCCGGACAAAGATACTACCGACATAGATTAGTATTTAGTTCAAACAAACAATTTTGCAAAAAAAAAAATGTAAAGGAACAAATATTATTTTCATCGATTAGTTTACTGTAAGATCTTTTGTTGAGGAATTCAAATATATGCACACTCATTGAGTTTGAGGAATTCTTTTGTTGTTGCTTACAACCTTAAACAAATGCGTTTTTTTTTTGTTGTTGTAAAACTGTCAACTGTTGAGGTTTTCACCGTTTCGTCTGTATTCATCCAACAAGTTCAGTCTTCTTGTTTTGTAAGGACATGGTCCAAATATTTTAAGGACTCTCCATGTCACAGACTATGGATCTAACCTTGAATGTTGAATCCATCTTCTTTCCTCTGGGTTCCTATTCAAATTTAGAAGCTCAAGCTCCTTCCTTCTTTTGATAGTGATTTACCTAAGGTCTTATGTTGCCAACGTATACTAACTAATGTTTTGTAAATTATACATGTAATGCAAAAAAAGGTAAGAGACATGTAGTACTCAATTAAAATCAAATAACCGAAGTACACTGACTTGTTTTATTGCAAACAGCAATTTGATCTTAATCATCAATTATTATAATAATAATTCCAAGCAGAGAGTAGCTCTGCTTACTGAATCAGTAAGTTTCCAAGTGTTCAAAATAATGTGGTTTACACTTAATTTAGCTTAAAACATGAGAACATTCAGTTAATATAAATTCTTGCTCACTGCTCTATCCAATTATGAATTATCTTTCATTTCAGTTCAGGTTTTCAGAGTCCAGATATAAAGTAATGCAGCAAGATAGCATGTGCATGGGCAACAAGAAAAGAATGCTAAGTAACTATCTATGCACACTGGATTTATGGATTAACCGATACGTACCTTGTATCATAATTCAATTTTCATGCAACGGTAGCAGCTGGAAAGGAAGTAAATAGCTGGAGAGATATGCAGAACAGTGGCTATTTATATTTTCTTTTTCTTTTTCAGCAGAAAAACTGCATACATAAATTCATTCCAAAAAAAAAAAGTCTAATACCTGTCAATTAGATGGAATTTTCCACTTACAAAAAACGGATAAAAAATTGTCTTGTGTACACTTTGCTTTAACTAATCTTTGTCAGTTTCTTTCAGCATGATTTATCACTCATTAAAACGATAAGTTAGGTCAGAGAAAGCTTCTTCACTCGTGATGATCATATCCAAATTCTTCTTCAACTTGGCTGAGTAATTCTTAAAATAAATGAAAAAGGGATCACAATACTGCTTCATTTTCTCTCCGACATATGTAGCCTTCAAGACAACCTTTAGGGACTCACTGCCTTGGAAGATGCTTTGGTTACAGCATAAGATGACCTTCTAATACCAGGTTAGCCGAAGCCCATTGTTTTGAGTTGACATGCACAGATTACAGTACAATGAATGCAAGAGCTTATGTATGAAAGAAATGTTTGAATTGTTATTTATTTAGTGGCTTGTGTTGCTTGAGATGTTTGGTTCAGAATATCAAACAGCTTTATTCTCTCTCCAACATAGACTACTAGAAAGTCCTTTGGCGTGTCAACCGATTTTGAAGATGCTTGATTTGCAGCTACTGTTGCCCTTAGGATACGTAGTAAATGAAACCCATTGTACCATCTTATGCTAATTAAGATAATCCTGCACCACCCTCCAGAGTAAAGATCAACAGATTTCTCAACTAGAAAGGAACATATATCTATGAAAAAGAAAACATAGTTGGATCATCTTGACAATTATTAAAGGAAGACCCAGCAGCAAACATAACGTATGCATTGCAGGCTGTGTTGATTAAAATTTCGGCACATAAAAAATGTAATGTTGCTTTTATTTGTTCAGTATTGATTTCTTCGAACCTCCAAACACTATTTCTGAGCTATCAATATGATCTTCAAAGGTTTTCATTAATTCTATGTGTGTGTCTTTCTCTTTGGTCCTAGGAAAAATAATTTCCCCTGCCGTTGTTAGGAATTATGTGTTCTGTTCTTGCTTTTAAATTTATTAGAATAAAGTCTAGTTTCTTTTTATTTGCAGCAATCAAGTGTGCTCTTACAGGGAAAATAGAACATTGTAACACATAAACATAAAGCACAGAGGAGATGCTGGAGCAATAAATTCTTTCTCAATGAGCATAAAAAATTATATATTGTGAATTTTTGAATCTGATGATTTTTCATTTCCCTATTTCTTGAGAAATGGAGTTCTTTACAAGTTAAGAAGATGCCTAATGGACAAAATTGTCACTTCTAATCTATGTTAGCTTCCTAAGATGTAAGATTTATTTTCCATTCAAGCAAAAAGTTATATGTTCGAAGACATCTTCGCTGCAAGGAATTGTGAGGCCACCCATGGGATGCTCATATCCATACTCTTCCTCAACTTGACTCAGCAACTGTTGGAATGAAGGTTGATTCAAGTATGACACAGGGATCACGAACCGCCTCATTTTCTCTCCAACATAGACTGCAAGGTATCCCTTTGGTGCATCCACCGCTTTTGAAGATGCTTGATTGGCTGCAAATAATGTCTTTCTGATACCAGGTAAACGAAAACCCATTGTAGCACTGATGTGTTAGGGACTTGAAAAGAGTGGTTTGAGAAAAGTCTTAAAAACAAGCTTTTGAAATTTGAATGCTTTAGGATGTGAATAATTTGGTCCTAAATGCTTGTAGCCATGAATATATATAGATAAAAGGATGTGTAAGAAACCACTTGATAAATCATGAATTATTGAAGGAGGGATATGAGATAGGATTAATGGGGCCAAATAAGAGACAAGGAATATGGTGTTGTCTTCGAGAGCTTATATTAAGAATCAACGTAACATGTATCTATGAAAGAAAATCTAATTGAATCATGTTAGTTTGTTACACTTATTGAGGATGGTGGGGGCCGGAAACTTCATTTCTGCAAATTTCATTCTGTGTTGCTTAGAATTTGGCATACATTTAAAATATGTGGTTCATAGTGTCTCATGATCACGCGTTCGATGATGTTTATCTTCTTATCTCCACTGATTCACCCTGATATTAGTTGGTACAGGGTAGATAGATATCAACAACATATAATCTTATTTAAAGAAACATGTGAGATGTCTAAAGCATGTCTACTACATGTCTATCGTTGATGTAGATAGATCCCAAATAAGTTTTCAAGAATTAGGTTTCACCTTTGCTGATATATTTAATATTAAGTGGGAAATTCTGTTGGTCACTATCTCAGAAGGTAGGAATGTGGGGTTATGCACCCCCATTTATCAGTGAAGGAGGTCTAAGACAATACCATGTGATCCTTCCATAGACCCTATCATGTCCTTGTCAATCATTCATTGTGGAATTAGATTGCAGTTTCAGACCTCCCATTAGGGACTATATATACACTATTTCTTGCATCTTCAAGCAACACAACTCATTTGCATCCTCAAGCATCAAAATTGAAATATTTATTTCCATACAAGTCTTTTGACATCAGTTAGCATATTATTTGTTTGTGACGCAACAAAAACAATGGGTTTCCGCATCCTAGGTATTATTAGACTAGCATCATTATCTACTGCTAAAACAACTCGCAAGGGACTTGAAGTCCCAAAAGGCTATCTTGCAGTCTATGTTGGAGATAAGATGAGGCGGTTCATGATTTCAGTATCATACTTGAACCAACCTTCATTTCAACAATTACTAAGTCAAGCAGAAGAAGAATTTGGATATGATCATCCAACTGGAGGTCTCACAATTCCATGCAAAGAGGATGAGTTCCTAAACGTTATCTCTCACTTGAATGAGTAAATCATGATAGTGGAGAGTGAGTAGATTAGATGAGGCAAATCGTACAGAAGGCACTTTCTTTTATTGTAAATATTTTCCCTTTTCATTTATTGTGTAATTCCATTGGAAGTTGAAACGTGTTCCATAATGAGATTACAACACAAATATTGTTTGAACACTTTTCTTTCGCCAAATACCAATGAACTTTATTATATCATGAAATATCTTCTGATATAGAACAGGCTATCAGCATATATTAGAGATTAATTTCAGAAACTCTATTGGAGATACTAACAAAACTTAACATTGCCTGTTACTGCTACCTGTTTTAATTTCAATACTCATCCTTGATCCAAACAAGGAAGCCACAACACATTTGTCCTGAAACTGTTTGTTGCTAGAGTTTTTGATAATTTAATGGCGCATTCAGTTAAGAACCAGATTCTGACTATCTTAATTTTAAGTTACTACTCCCTTATGTTCTATCATCACTACAAATCATTATCGTTTGTAAGTATTCAATTTTTCTGTTTACCTAGACAGGCAGATCCAGCACATGTATTATTAGTTGTTTGTTTCTATGCCTGAAAAATATGGCTTATTACTACCGTTGTACTACCCCAAAATTCGCAAAAGCAATAGAAGAAGGTTTTTCAAATTTTGGTGGACAGAAAATCAAAGTCCAATCCACAGTTATTGAATACTTGAATGGTAAACAGTTGTGCTATTATCCATGGTCTATTATTTCAACCTTTACAATTTATTTCCTTTTATTAAATTTAAATTCAGAATTTGGATCTCTGACTTGGAACGCCGTCTGTATTTGGTATGAAAATTTATGATATAAATATTAGTCGCTGATAATTGTTACCGACCTAGACTTGTTTTGCTTTAAATAAACCTTTTCTTTATTTGGTTTGAATTTAAGACATTACACCTCTGCTTCTTACATTGTATTGTAAGTTCACAGATTCATTTTCTCTAAAAGAGAAAAGTTATAGAAAATCATTGGTTCTTTGACTACTACAGTTATAGATAATAAGTCATACCATACATCAGTTGAATGTAAAAGATAAAGTTTTTCTGTAGAATCTCACGTGTTCTTTTCCTGCTTTTTTTAGAAGAACGTTTAGTATTTTTGCTGCATCAACCTTGCTCTTAGAGGAAGAAGGGAGCACTGTAACTAACAAACAGAAAACAGAGGAGATGCTAGAGCAATTGAATTCATTCTAATTGAACAAAAAAATGACACACTTCGATTTTGTCAATCTGATGGTCTGTCTTTCTTTACATTATTTTTGGAGAAAGAGAGAACTTTACAAGTTGAGAAGGTTCCTAATGTAGAAAAATGTCACTTCTAATCTAAGTCAGCCACCTAAAATGTGAGATTTAATGTCCATTCAAGCAAGAAGTTATAAGTTGGAATACATCTTCGCTGCAAGGAATTGTAAGGCCACCCATGGGATGATCATATCCAAACTCTTCCTCAGCTTGACTCAACAAGTCTTGAAATGAAGGTTGGTTCAAGTATGAGATGGGGATCATGAACCGCTTCATTTTCTCTCCCACATAGACTGCAAGATAGCCCTTGGGCGCATCCACCACTTTTGAAGATGCTTGATTTGCTGCTAATAATGTCTTTCTGATACCAGGTAAACGAAAGCCCATTGCCGTATTGACTGTGTTAGAATTCTTTAGTATGTGAATGATTTGTGTTGGTCCTAAATGCTTGAAGGGCATGAATATATAGATCAAAGGATGTGTAAGCAACTTTAGCTACTTGAATTATTGGTTAAAGTACGGATGAGATAGGAGTCATCATGGGACCAAATGAGATACAACGCATATGGTGTTGTCTTACAGGACTTCTAGAGAACTAACCTGACACGTTATAGTTGATCTCTCACAGCCCCTCCTTCTTCTTGATCTATGAAAGAGTCTAATTGGCTCATCTTGACACTAATTGAGGGTGGTGGGGGCCAGAAACTTCATTTATGAAAATTTCATTTGTGTTGTTTAGAATTTGACGTACAAAAAAATGTGGTTGATAGTGCCTCATGGTCATGCATTAAATGTTGGTTCTCTTCTTATCTCCACTGTTTGTTTAAAAGCTATCGATCAGGTTTGATCAATTCGAGTTGTTTACAGGATACTTAATATTAGTTGGTACATGGTAGATATCTATCGATATCATTATTATCTCACTTCACTAAACATGTGATATGTCTAAAGCATGTCTACATGAATAAATTGAAATAGCTAGAACAATTATTAATGAAAAGGCTGAGGTTTCACAACCTTTGCTGATGTATTTAATTTCAAGTGTAAATCCGTTGGTCATTATATCAGAAGGTGGGGCATGGTATTCACCTCTAATCCTTAAAAGTGATGTCTAAGACAATACCATGTGATCCTTGTCTCTCAGTAGACCCCATCATGCCTCTGTCAAAAGTCATTCATGGTGGAATTGGATTGTAGTTGCAGACAACCCATCAACGACTATATATAGACTATTTCTTGCAGCCTCAAGCAACACAAGCTTCATTTGCATCCTGAAGCATCAGAATTCAAATATTTCTCTCTCATACAAGTCCTTTGCCATCTCACTCAGTATATTTTTCATTTGTGGAGCGACAAAAACAATGGGTTTCCGCATACTAGGTATGGTTAGACAAGCATCATTTTCTGCAGCCAAAGAAACTCGCAAGGGAATTGAAGTCCCAAAAGGCCACCTTGCAGTCTATGTTGGAGATAAGATGAGGCGGTTTGTGATTCCAGTATCATTCTTGAACAAACCTTCATTTCAACAATTACTGAGTCAAGCCGAAGAAGAGTTTGGATTTGATCATCCAACAGGTGGTCTCACAATTCCATGCACGGAGGATGAGTTTCTAAACCTCACTTCGCTTGAATGAGCTGTAAATAATGCAATAATATGGAGACTGCATAGATTAGTTGAGTCAAATTTGTACAAAAGGAAAATTCTTTATTGTGAATATTTTCCTTGTATAGTCCAACTGATGTTGGAAATTTTGACATGAATGAGAATGTATAAGACTAGACATTTCCAAAAACACTTTTTTTGCTTTTCCCAAATCTCAATGAATCATATTATATACAATATTACAGTTAATTTTTTTTTTAGATTGTACATATCAGGTTTTCACCTTTTAATATAACTTTGTTCCAAATATGAAAATTTTCTCCCTGGTCCTAGGATCAAATTGTACAAGGGTGCAAAACCCATTTTCTCAAATGAAAAATAAAGTAACTACTTGTTGCAATCTAATGAGATTTGATCAAGTAAAACCTATTGTCTGTTCATTGATTGCTACTTCATACTTCTGTAAACACACGCTTCAGACATGTCACATTTTCTCTTTAATAGGTGCCATTTGCCAGCTAGCAACTACTTGGCGAGATGAATTATGTAGAAGCTGACACTGAAATATCATAGGGTTACTGTGTTAGTAGAACACAGGAGAACTCGAGCATTATCATCTGGTAGACTACTAAACGAATGTAATCTTAGGGTTTTAATTTTCTGCAAAAAAAAATCACATAATTTGTATATTCTTTGGTATGTTATTTAACAATGGATATTCACTTGTAATACAAATAATATTTTATATCTCCAAAAAAAAAAATACAATGATGTATCATTTAGTTTTTATTTGCATCAATATTTTTATTCAATATTCATACCATGAAATTTATCAGGACAACCAAAGTAACTAAATTCTTATAGCAACCTTGCTCATTCAGGATGAAGGGAAAGTCGTCAAAGTAACTAATGAACAGAAACACAGAGGAGAGACTTAGTTGATTTCATTTTCATCAAACAAAAATGGAACAAACTTGTCATTAAATGGTTTTTTCATTTCTCCATTTTCTCAAAAAGGGATCCAAACAAATAAGGAGATGCCTATTGTACAAAATGTATCTACAAATCTATGTCAATCTTCTACAGTACAAAATTTATAGTTTATACAAGCGTGATGTTATTGTTTGGAAGACATCTTCACTGCAGGGAATTGTAAGACCACCCATTGGATGATCATATCCAAACTCTTCCTCAGCTTGACTCAACAAGTCTTGGAATGAAGGTTGGGTCAAGTATGATATTGGGATCGCAAACCGCTTCAATTTTTCTCCAACGTAGACTGCAAGATAGCCCTTTGGCACCTCCACAGCTTTTGAAGATGCTTGGTTTGCAGAAAATGATGCCCTTCTGATACCGGGTAGACGAAAACCCATTGTTATATTGTATTTTTAGAGTTGCGAAGAAAATGGTCTAAAATAGACTTAGAAGTATAAGCTTGTGAATTTAGAATGCTTCAGAATGTGAAGGATGGGTGTTGTTTTAGCATGCTTGCAACTACGAATATATAGATAAAGGATATGTAAGTAGGATACTTGAATTATTGGTGAAAGAAGATTGTGACATAGGAGTCATGGGACCAACTGAGAGACAAGGTCATATGATAATGTCTTTAGAGGACTCTCCCATGAATAACGTGACATATAGTGGCAATAATACGAGTCCCACCTTCTGGAGTGAATGCCATCAAATAACCCCACTATGCAAAAGAAAGCCTCATAGGATGATGTTGACACTTATTTGGGGTGAGGGGACAGCCAACTTCATGCACGTAATTTCACATGGTGTTGCTTTAAATTTGGTACACAAAAATATGTGGTTCAATAGTGGCTCATGATCATGTGTTCAATATCAGTTCTCTTCTTGCCTCCAATTCCAATTGAGACCTCTCATGGTTTACAACTTGCTTACTCTTACTCTGATATAGTTGGTGGATGGTACATAAATCAATATAGCATTGTCATATATTTGAAGAAACATGTGAGATGTCTATAGCATGTCGACCATTAAAATAGCTACAGCATAATGAATGAACAAGGTTTGACCTGTAATTCTGTTGGCCATTATCTCAGAAGGTGGTGGGTGTTTACTCAGTTAACTTCCTAATCCTTGAAAGAGATCTCTAAGACAATACCATGTGATCCCTTGTCTCTCGGTCGACTCAATCATAGTCCCTCTAAAAATCATCCATTGTGGTGTTGGATTGCATAGGCCATTGGCAACTATATATATATATACAACATCTTTCTGGTATTCAACACAAGTCATTGCATTCCTCAAGCATCAGATTTCAAATATTTCTCTCTTATACTAGCCCTTTAACATCAGTTTGTCATTTAGCAATAGAAAACAATGGGTTTCCGCATAACAGGTATTATTAGACGGGCATCATTTTCTACAACCCTAGCATCCTCCAAGGGGGTTGAAGTACCTAGAGGCTATCTTGCGGTCTATGTTGGAGATAAGATGAGGCGGTTTGTGATTCCTGTATCATACTTGAACCAACCTTCATTTCAAGAATTACTAAGTCGAGCAGAAGAAGAATTTGGGTATGATCATCCAAACGGTGGTCTCACAATCCCATGTCAGGAGGATGAGTTCCTAAACGTCACCTCTTGCTTGAATGAGTTGTAGTGGAGACAGAGATAGATTAGAAGAGGCAAATTTGTACAGAAGGCACTTTCTTTTATTGTAAAGATTTTCTATTTTGTTATCTTGTTTTGTTCCACTACAAGTTGAAACCTGTTGCCAGAATTAAAGTGCAACACAAAACATTATCTAAACACATTTTGTTTTTGCCAAGTCTCAGTGAATTCAAATATATACAACAGTATCATCATCAAAGTTCAGTCCATATCCATCAGGCTATTAGCTTTTAATAATAGCGTTTAATTGCAGCAATTCTATTAGAGATATTTACCAATCCTGACCCTCACACTATTTCAATATCCATCCTTTAAGCCGAACAAGGAACACACAAACTTCTGTCCTGAAACAGCTTTTGCCGATTGCCATAGATTTTTCAATAATATGTAGTGCACTCAGTTCTTGTCTTCCTGCTTTCAGCATCACAGAATAATTAAAGCCAGAGATATGTGTACAGCTCTATACCAAAAGGTTACCACTATATAGTTGGTTTGATCATTGTGTTCCAGACACGCTGCACACATATCTCATGCGAACTACATTAATATTAGGAGTGTTCTTGGAAGCCGAAAACCTCTCAAAAACAGTCTACTGTAGCTTAATCTTCAAATGCTCCTAAGTACTCTCATTGGAACATACTAGAAATGCTAGAGCATTTTGATTCCTCGGCAGGGTGTTATCAGTATATCTCAAAAAGACACTCAAAGTACTCTGGATTCTCTCGTCTATTTGGATTTCTTTATGGGTCATATGATGTTTTGATTGAAATATGAGTTGAAGTTCCACCTAGAATAAAAATATAAAAGTTAAATAACTTATAAATAGTAAAATTTAGGAATTTTCATTGATCTATATTTTTTGAAGTCTTCCCTTCATTTACTAGTGGCATTAACTCGTTATATTTTTTAAGAAAGTTTTTTTTCAATTAAAACTTATTCATGTACTTTTTCACAATTTTTTGTATTATTATGGTTTAAAATTGATCTATTTGGTCTTTCAAGTTTTAAAAATATGTCATTATTATTTCTTTCTTTTTATCTAAATTTAACACTTAATTATAATTTGTCATATACTTAATAAAAAGGAGTAAATGTGATTTTAATCATTCTTTACACTTAAATTTAATAATTGGAAAGATTTTTTTATAAAGTTGATTAAGATTTAAATTTACATTTATTTTAAGTTTGAAAACTATTTTGTTAACTATCTATTTGGAGACTTCATCTAACCCATTTGAATATCCAAGAATTTTTTTTTCTACTTCATATTTTTATTTTTCTTTGTGCATCTCTATATCTTTTAAAATGTTAATGTTACTACTGTGAAACAAATAATGAAACAATGATATATATTAAAAGGTGTGTGGAGAAGGACTTGGTAATTTGAAACAGTAAAAATATTATTCAAAACACTTTTTTTTAATGATTTATTTGACATCATATAAATAATACTTATTTTACATAATTTTAGAATGTTATCATTATTTGAAATGTCTTTTTTATCATTATTTGAGAATAATTTTTCTAAAGGTGTTTGACCTTATTTTGGAACACAATATGAAATTTTCTTGGCATTATATAATTTATAAATATTTGTTCTAAACTATTTTTTACTATTATTTTGAAATTATATTCCTCATCTTATTCTATAATATATAATTCAGAATGTGCAGAAAAAAAAAATGTAATTCTTGAATAGGTCCACTTCTGAAAAAAAGGCCCACTTGGGTATTGGGTTGGGCTTTTTAAGTGTGATGATTGATCGGAGACAGTTCTACTAGCGAGTAAACGACGTCGTAAAAGCAATGAGCAATGCTGCACAATTTTGACTGAGACAAATAAACCCTAAAACTTGATGCTCAGATTGAGCTTCTACTTTTGAGACGAGGTCGTTGATTGATATGACCAACAGCTCATCTTCAAAAAAGCACGGTCAAGATCAGCCTGAATTAAGTGGTCCTACCCCCAAATCCCAGCGAACCAAAATGGGCAAATCTGAAGACAACGATAAGAAGGTAACCTTGTTTCGATTCAAATTCGGATAAAACCAGCAACCTCATTTTCCAAATCGCCAAAATAACGATTTCCCCCAATGCGCTTTTTTGGACTGCGTAAAGATTGCACCTTGTTTCCGCCATTGATTCAAATCCTTTGATTTGGAGATATCATATAGCACGACGATCTTCAAATCAATGTTCAGAACATCAAATATGATTTTAGAATGTCATGCAAAGAGAAAACAAATTCCTCTACATATTTTTATTAGAGCATGTTCCTTGTACTCATTATACAAGTATAACCATTTTTGGGTTTTGTGTAGAACTTGGGTAAGAAACTCAAAGATGTGGAAATAAGCGTTCCAATAGTGTATGGGAACATAGCATTTTGGCTTGGCAAAAAGGCTAGCGAGTAAGTATCCTACATTGCCTCTACCTGGTCTAATGTTTTGCTTGAAGTCACGTGAATGGGTTTTCTTAAAACAAAGAGTAAGAAAGTCACCATGTTTATGTCATGAAAGGTATCAGTCGCATAAATGGACAGTATATGTTCGTGGAGCAACCAATGAGGATCTTGGGGCGATAGTAAAGCGTGTTGTTTTTCAGTTGCATTCTAGTTTCAATAATCCCACACGTGTTGTGGAGTCACCACCTTTTGAACTCTCAGAGGCAGGATGGGGGGAATTTGAAGTTGCTATCACACTTTATTTCCACAGTGATGTTTGTGACAAGCCTTTGAACTTGTGAGTCCTTGGGTGCTTACTACCTTGGATTTAGTATCTGTTAGCCTGGTTCCAGGAATAAAAGATTGTTGAGCCTTGTATTGATACTCTCATTTCTTGTTTCGGTGTAGAGGTTCAAAATATGCTTGAAAATACTAATGGTATGCAAAATGTCAACTGATTTTCTAGCATGTTTCAATCATCAACAACTTGCTTATTTCTGAAATACTACAAGAGTGCAGGTCTATTCCCTGCTAAGTTTAGTTAGATAGAGTAATTTGTATGTAGTGCTTCATTATTATTAATGATAAGCTTGGATGACTATACAATAACATTTACGGCTAGTGGTTGAGTTTATGTTTGATCACCATACAACCCGTATCCTTTGTTATTAGTCATGCAGATTGCAGACTACTTTTGGAATGTTAAAATAAAATGATTTCTGAATCTTGTATTCTATTGAAGAGTAGTATATATACAGATATCACCAGTTGAAGTTGTATCCAGAGGATGAAAACAGCTCCATGTCCACAAAGAAGCCTGTTGTTGTGGAGTTTTATGATGAGATAGTGTTCCCTGATCCTTCCGAGGCTTTTTTAGCTCGTGTGCAGAGTCATCCAGCTGTGAACTTGCCAAGATTACCTGCTGGGCTTACCTTGCCTCCTCCCAGTATGTTCTGTAGCAATTACCCCCTGTTATCTGCAGCTTTCCTTTTTCCATGCTTGAGTTGAAAGAACTTGTAAATGCAGTACCTGTTGAGGATGCAAGTAAAAGGAGGAAAGGTGATACCAAAGATCATTCTTTAAATCAATGGTTCACGAATTTTTCAGAAGCAGATGAGCTCTTACAGCTTGCAGCAGCTCGGCAGCAGGTATGATTGACAATACTTTTATCATATTTAACGTATCTAGTATTTATGGATGTCAAATCAATTGTCAATTGTTGATTCCTTGATTTAAAGGATCAGAATGAACCATGACAGCAACCAGATGCTTTCACTTTACAGCGTAGAAAAGTCTGCATCATACATGGTCAACTGTTTATAGTAGCCACCCTAGCAATCTAAACTATACATGCACATGATAGTTTCTGTATGGAGAATATGATAACAATAGCATCAAGATCATAAAAGAAATACGAATAAGGATTGATGGAGTTTTTTTTTTTTCTTCAAATTTTCTGCTTTTCAGAACATGTACTTCAGATTGATCTGTCCAGAGACTGAGACTAATTATCTATGCTTGGGAGTTTTATTTGTTTGTATGATGTTTATGGCCTTTTTTGTGTATTATTTGAACTCAAAACTACTGTGCCTTTGAAGTATTAGAATAGAATGCAGAGACATTTTTCTTAATTTACATTGTTGTGTAAAACTGATATGGGCATGTATGGGATTCTGCTTTGTAATTAAATGATTAATTCAACTTCTAAAGAAGACCGAGCCAGCTGAAGGGGGGGAGTGGAGGAGGGACAGTGGACAGATAAGATGGTCTATATGCTCATCAACATTATTCTAGTTTTATATAATAGCTATCATGTTACATCACTCCTACTTGTTCATCATTAAACAATCTAATTAACACATCCATTATCATCTATATATGTGGGTTCTATATGTTCTAATCATTTTCTACGTGGGGCATGAATTTTTAGAGTGGGGCATGAATTTTTAGAATAAACATAGGAGACCAATTTTATAATAATAAACAACTGACATGACTAACGTATATAATGCTGACATTATTCATGTTTTCCTTTTAATTTGAGAGTCCACTGTGTAGATGAACTTTATCTTCATCCAAAGTTCATCCAACTCATTGACTGTTGTCATGTCAGTGTGTTGAAGTCTGTATTACAGTCCTTTTCCTTGTATGTCCTTCATAAGCTGTTGATTTCCTTAGTGTTGCTTGGATGTCCCCATTTATGGTAGTGAATTACAACAAGTAGTTCAGAGATGTGGTTGAATCTTTTTTTTTTTTTTTTTTGGTTAAATTGTGAATATGTTTTAACTTTTCTTGTAGATTTTGATTGTTTTATCATCTTAAAATAGGTAAGAAAATTGTGTTCCAATTGATTAAACTCATGTTGTGCTTCCAAATTCCAATGGGCTAGGTTCAAGCACATATTGCTAAACTCAGACGACAGATAAACCTGATAGATGGACAGCATCAGCAGTTTAAATCTTCTTCTGACCAATAGATGTACAATTGAGATCTTGGAGGCTTATTTTCTAATGACTCAGAGAGTAGAAGAATGGGATGATTATGTGCTTCTAATTAGCTAGCTTTTTCTACAACTGTATTGTAACTTATTTCATTTTATTTGTCTAAGGTGTTGTAATTTTAGAGTAGTGTATCTCTCTGTCAATAAACAGAAGCGGCCAGATGTGTATGATTTAACCCTAAAGATTTAAAATGTGTAGTATTTCTCATTTATTATAATATATATTGAATATAGCTATACAATATAGATCTATCATCTGAATTAAAAAATAGATATATCATGTTGACAGCAATCAAATACATGCTTAAATAAGCAAATTAGTTAAGCATTTGATAATAAGTTTTTTGTCAAGTAAGAACTTCTATATTTATAAACTTGACTTAAAAGGAACCAAACATATTCCTACTAATGAGGTATAGATTTGATGGATAAGATAAATAAAGTAATTATAAGCTTAATGACTATATGAGCATTAATTATTTGGAAAACTTACGAGGGATTAATAAAATTTGAATTTTACGACAATATAATAAACATTTATGTTTATTCCTTTGATTGTTGAAGTATGAAAAGGAAGGTATAAATGTTGTACTAAATTTATTTATTTATTTTGAAAAATTCAAGCATAGGTTATGATGATATATATCACTGGATCAAAATACTTTCCCTGTGCTGTTCCTAATTTTAAGACTCAATTAACTAAATTATTACCATGGAAGTAATTTAATTTAGCCAATGACAATAATATATCTTAAATTTATAATTTGTTTTCAAAAATTCCTTTCGTCACAAACATTTATTTTTATTTGAGTCGTATAAACATGAACTAATGAAGTACTAATATTTAGAATTTTGGATGGTATCAACTTTGAGATTTGCTATCTTTTGAAGGCTTAGATTTCTTAGCATTTGCTGATTTTTAATGTTATGAATTTTTGGACAGTATCAACTAAGGACTTGAAAATTTGTTATTGGGAAACTTGATTGTGATATTTGCAATATTTTATAATTAAATTTATAATGTTTATGTAAATAAATCTTCTATTAGTATGGTAATTAAATTACAATTGTACTTTAATAATATTTATTGATTAACTTTCCATAATTAATCAAAGTATAAATAATAAATACAAAACAAATATTTGAGTGGATAGTGTTTATACTATATACAAGATTTATTTTTATTTTTTTAATTACAAATATGAGGAAAAGTTCATGATAGTCTATGGAAACCCTATTGGTATAAAAGGTGTACAAACATACACATGTTATAGAGTGTGGTGGAGGTATGAAACAAGGATCAATCATCAAAATAGCATACTTTGGAGTTCTAAGAGGGGGAAAACATTATACTAACTGTTTTAATTTGGTAATGCATTGAAGTAGCTAGTAAGGGAGGGTAGGGTCCTTTAAACGGCTGGCATTACTTATACATGTTTGAGTGGGTTTGGGTGGGTGATGTGGTAGGAGTAGGCCTTAGAGCTCCCCTTAATGGGAAAATCCAACTTCCAGCTGTTTTATTTTGGTGGGTTTTGTAATTCGAAGTGAGGCTCCCACATTCATGTTCTTTTCAGCAGTACAATGACCAGACCAAAAATTACCAATTAGGTAGTTAGCAGGTACATTGGTACAACAACGTAGTGCATGTTATTGTTAACCAACAAATCACCCTTTGGTATGTCGGTTTTGCTTTTGTTGTGCCAGCTGTGAAGGACATTTCAATCTTTGGTATGCATATGTAATCAATGTTTTTTGTTGTTGTTTTAAACTAACCCAAGAACTCAAACAGAATCTCTGGTTAATTGGATAGGATAAGAGTCTTAAATTAGTAGAAACAAACTATTCTTATCATAGAATTGACATGTAACTAGCATCTTCTTTCATAAATATTCTTTCTTAAAACAAACATTATAGGATTATCACACTTTTTATAAGTTGTTTAAATAGTAGCGATTCAGGTTTAACTTTTAGACAGAATAAATTAACTAAAAAAGATAACAAGATGATGATGGTTTAGATAATAAAGAAAAAATTAATATTTTCATGTTAATTCTTCTTTCTTAGATTGGAGATCCAATTCCATAAACATCATAATTGTAATAATTATCTTCACTTCAACATCAAAATATTTTGCATGTACCTCAACCTGCTATAGGTACATCTGAAGGTCACATAAGGAGTAGAACTTCATTTTGGTTATTTAGAGGGCAACAAGAAGAAAAGTGGCACTTGTACCACTAAGGGGTACTTTTGGTTACTTCTTCACCCATCGAAGGTAACTGAGAAGAGTATACAATTTCACAGAACACTTAGAAGAGTTGTTGTGATTGTAAAGAAGGGAAAAAGTGGTGGTGTGAGTTGTGAGTTTGGAAGGTAAAAAAAAATTGAGGGGAAGTTAGGCTGGTGAGTAAAGATTGGAGTTTTCAAGTGGTTGGAATGATCTAAGAAACAGGGTCTTAGCAAGTGGATTTTGGGGGCAAGAGTAACATGGCCTTCATGTGCCAAAGTAAAGGTTAAGTCCCCATCAACTTAAAAGAACATACCCTTCTTTGATTTGCTTCTCATAGCACCGCATTTTGGTGAAAATGGTGGGCCTTTCAACTCTCTCCCTAATTTTAATTCCATCTCTTTCTCCAAATAATCTCATTCACAGAACATGAAGGTTCTGTGCAAGGACTGTGACATCCGTTTATCTGGTTTCCCATCTACACCTTACCTTACACACTGTAATAATACATTTGTACACATTTCATGTGGTAGAAGTAGTAGTAGTATGCTAAGTACTTTCTTTCAAACAAACCGACACAACTATCCAACTTTTCCTCCCTTTCTTTCTCCATCTTACTTTTTCCATCACATCCATTCCCATCATTACTCTTTCTGCAATTTCTCTATATACCGTTTTATACTTTTATCATGAATTCAATTAATGTATGTAGGTATGTATGAGTGGTGGAAATGGAGTTGAGTGATATTGCTTTCACCGTAGAATGTAGTTTAATTTAACTATGATGAGGTTTGAGTTAGGTGCTTGTGAGTGAATCCATGCTATAGATGTCCTACAAATTAGCATGGGATTTGGCATTGAGAGAGACACAAATGGAAACAGATCACTAAAATGCAGGACACTACCGTATATATGATATGAGTAGCTGAATATTATTAAAAAGATCAATTTACTATTGTGGGCATGGGAAAAATGCAAAGGTAACAAAGCAAGGTGGTGCAGGTTAAACCTAAATAGTGGTGCGCATTGAATATAATTTATGTTTCATTGCACTTACATGCTATCTAGTGGTCATGGTTTAGGCAGGACCACATGGGAAGCCCTGCATTGTTGAGACACTGATCTCTAAGTGCACACACCATTGTGTCCAAGTTCTAGGCCAAAACCAACCATCAACTCTGATATATCATATTGCATGGTCCAAAGGAATCTAAATGCAATACCACATCTCTGTCAATGGATTGAACATGGAACTATATTGTTGGGATTAATGCCAAATCATGACTCCAAAACCTTAATAAGTTCACTCTTCCCCACTTGTATAAGAGGCCTCATCATTCACAATCACAATTGAGTTTTCAATTACTTTTTTGTTATTACACATTCAGCCTATCCTTTTATACATAGTTTTTCCACTAATAAATACGAATGTCTTCTATGAAAAGAACTAACCAGCCAACCACGTTATTGAGCATGACAACTGCAGCTTCCTTCGACAGCTTTGGCCTGTTGGTTTTCCATGATTTGTTCCAAATTGATTACGCTTCTAATTAATCAGAATAGATAGAAAACAAGTTTATCTAAAATTAATAAAGCTTAGGAAAAATGCTGCATGGAATGGATGACCTCATGTTCTTCTACAACTCCAAGAGAAAGACAAGAAAGTGTTAATTGAATATATGTAAATAGTACTGTTCATGTATCACCCCTCATAATTTTTAGTGTGTTAAAATAATATTTTACATCACCACAATCAATTTTAGGATAAATTTATATTGGTGTGATAAAAAAATGATTAGGTATATACTGCATTAAGCTATTATCCAAAAATACCTAATCTGTGGTGGTCATGTGAATAGGATGAAATGGGCGATAAAAGGACCTAAGTGTTTATTTAGGCTACATTTTCTGAAATATTTGAATAGTTTGCTTCAACTTTAACTTGAAGGTAGAGAGTTACGATATCGAATTCAAATCCTTTAAAGTATGAATAACCCTGCAACAGACACATGGGTTTCTGTTGCATGAGTCACTTATCAGTTCTCACTCGTCAGCATCGCAAGCCGAACAATCAGAAAGACCAAACCATCACCAGGACCAGGGTGTGCCTATCATTCCATCGAGATCATGCAGGATTCATACAAAAATTCTTCCAAATTCCCTTTACTTCCTCATTCAGTCACATATCATTTACACTCTAAAAATAACAAATTGTGCTTCCTTACGTCTGTGTTAGTGGAGTTAACATCACCAAAATAAAATCAAAATTATTATGTATACAATTCATGAGTGATATGTGTAAAAAATGTACCAAATTACTCAAATATCTTTTTTTACATAAATGCTTACTCTTTTCTATTTTCCTCTTCTTATCAGCATCATTATTTATCGATTTTGTTAAATGTAAAACTCCTCCTTCTTAGTGAGTATATGTGAACATTTTGAGTGTCAATCAAATATTATCAAACAATCTAAAAGTAAACCTCTTTCATGATTATAAAACTTGTACTACTAGAAGAATTGTGCGTAGAAGGGTTATCAAAACAAAACTAAGATTGAAAGAACAGAATGGTATCATCCAAGAACTGGGTCAAAAAGGGAAAGAAGAGAGGGAGGTTTTAAAAAGTGTTTATGGGGTCTGACCTTGATGGAAAGAGGATTTGAGGGAAATGATGAAAGAAAGAAATTAAATTAGTTGTGGTGATGGGTGAATAAGAAGGTTGAAAGCAGACAGATAGGTAGGGGGAGAATTGAAGGTGTACTAGAGTGAAACTGGGACCATGTTGCCGTGATGAGGACCAACATAGAATAGTATAGCCAATGGGGTTGGCTCCCACCATGTCCTTGCACAAATACACAAACCCCAAAACACCCGTGGTCTGTTCTTTAATTTGCCTTGTGCCCCACACTCCCTCCACATCACCCCTCTTTCCACCCTCTCCATAAATAACCCCTCACCACCCTTCTTATTTCTCATCATCATCATCCACCACTACCTCTTCTTCGCTCTCTCGTCTCATCTCAACCCCTTAACATGGCCATTAGAAAATCAAACAAGCTTCCCCAACATGCAGTTTTGAAGCAGATCCTTAAGAGGTGTTCAAGCCTAGGAAAGAAAAACGGGTACGATGATGATGGCCACCTTGTTGATGTCCCAAAAGGCCATTTTGCTGTTTATGTCGGCGAAAACAGAAGCAGGTACATTGTGCCAATCTCATTCCTCGCTCACCCTGAGTTCCAATCCCTCCTTCGACAAGCGGAAGAAGAGTTTGGCTTCGATCACGAGATGGGTCTCACCATTCCTTGCGAAGAAGTCGTCTTCAGGTCTCTAACATCATCGTTGAGATGAAACAGACAAAGGACGAGGTTCATTTACATAATGGTTCTGACTGAAGAGGATGGCCAGATGAAGCACCCCCGTTTGCTTCTTTTTCTCCCTTCGTCATTGCCGTTTCCATTGGCCTCTCATTCATATTATTCTTCTTCACTTGCTATTTTTAAATCCATCACATTCTTTTGTTTTCTTTTTTGTTTTCTTTTTCTTTTTTTGTGGGTTTGTTGGAACAACCTGCTATGAAGTCAATTATGCGACTCTAACTTTGTTTCCATGATGATTTCATGGGTAGAAAATTGTACAAAAATGTTTGAAGTTTTCCTCGCAGAGGTTTCTAAATAATATACCCTGTGAGAGAAGTTTTATGTCAATGAAAGCCACTCCATTTATGCTCTATACTCCTGCTTCTTCTTCAATGTTACACTGCCTCCTATTTCTTCCTGGTTCAAGCTTATCTTCACTGGATCATGTTCATGTCAATATACTTTAGAAGGAAAAAAAATGCATCTGAATTTGGTTCGAAAAATAGATATTAGAAGAACTCCATTCACTTAAAAAAGTCCATTTAAATCAAATTGAAGAAATCAAAATCTGCCCGGAACATTAGTATAAGGAAAATCTTTAAAAAGATGTGGTGAAGGATTACAAGAAAAGTAAAAAGAATGAATTGTTGTAAGGAGTAAATTAAAGCATTAAACTCAGATTTTCTTAATTCAGAAAGTTAATGGACAGTACCATTGTTGTACGGATTAACACACGGTACGGCTGGCTTTAACTTTTATATGCCCTCCCATTGTAATTATTATGAACACTTTTTTCCTGTTAATTAATGTTCATATTTTTCAGTTTTTGAAGCTTGTAAATATTTTTCTAAACCACCAATGTGAGTTTGAATGTGACATTAAAAAAGGCAAAATATTTTAAGATTAACTATAAAACCTCCCACAAATTCCATCACCTACCAGGAACTTCCATGTTTATTGTACAATGTTGATGATCTACAATACATAAATGCTGATAATAAAGATTTGTTTTTTGAGAAAACAGATAATAAGGTTTAAATGTCTCAGGAGAAAGTTCATATGTTAAAAAAATAATAATATATATATATATATATATATATATATATATATATATATATATATATATATATATATATATATAACAAGACCCTTGTAAGTTGCAACGGACCCAATCCTAATAATTTTTTTCATAAATTAAATCTTGGCTGAATTTTTTAGAAAAATATTTAAAATTAAGCTGAAATTCATTGTACAACATTGTATATATGTTTACTAGTTGTGAATATTCATTAAGTTGGCTTTCATGATCATCCCAATAAATGATTCCTTTCAAAAAGTATTTTAGGATGAAAGCCACTGTGTTAATTAATAGTATAAGAAAAACCAGAAAAGGCGTTGGCTTGGGAGGACCATGTTGCTAAGCCAATATAAGTAAAGTGGTTGTTAATGATGAAGACAGGGCGTAAAGGAAGGTTGTGGCCTTGGGCAGACCTAGATAACAACCCTGCAAGTACTACCCTTACAACCCTTTCTCTTTTCCAAAAGCTCATCACACTTTTCTACACGCCTTTAGTTGATAGAGACCAAAAAACTGCCTAACTTCATTACATTCATCTAATTAATGACAATACTAATGCCTTCATTAACACTCAAGTAATGAAAATTCAAAAATATTTTGGACTGATATAATAACCAAGAGTTGGATAAATTAAACAGTTCCAACTCAAACAAACTTTATCTGAACACAAGGCTGAAAAATAAGTTTGAAAGTAACTGGTTTTCCTTTTGCAGGAGGACCAGCAGAGAGAAAATAAGGGTGTGCCTGTGCATAGATGGTCCTCTCTGCATTATTATTATTAATGCCTGTTTTTTCTTTCTTTTGGTTTCAGCCACAAAACATTTCTGACCACTGACATTCACAACTCCTCTTGTAAGTTATAAACTACCTAGCTCCATTGCCAACTTGGCAACTCCCTTAGCTTCAAAACATCCATCATGTGTCTTCTCCTTCCTACATTTTTCTATGTCCCTCTTCAGAAACTAAATATCTTCTCCCATTACTCTGTTGTCCATGCCTTTCTTTTCTCTCTCTCCACCTCCTTCACACAAGTACACATGACGGTTTCATTTGTCTGGACCATAAAAGATTCAATATATTATTATTTAAGAAATATATGCAACTTGGAACTACATCCTTCAGTATGTGGCGTAAGAATATTGATTTTGCAAACTGATGAACCTCGACCAATCAATACAAGTAAATATCAAACTATACTCCATATAAAACATTTAAATTTAGAGTTTAAGGCTTAAATATATATATTATATCATATGTTACTTCACTGTTAACTTGCTGATACACATCAAACTCCAAATGGAATAATTCAAGGTGTTATTATATATCTTTTACTTTACTGGGATATTTGAGATCTATTGTGTGCAATTTCTCTGCTGGAAAATTGTCCCTAGGGACTAGGGTGTCCCACCCATGTGTTCTCTCTATTTCGTGGAAGGTTCCCATCTTGAACTATTATTTTAGAAACGGATTAAGAATCACGTAATAATATAATATTGTAAATGTTATTTCTATACATTCCTATTATGATTGTAAAATAAAAATAATTTATTAATAGAATTAAGAAAAGTTAAACATTGGAACAAGATAATTTTATAATATTTAGTAGTAGATAGAGTAGACTAGAAATCCAAGAAGAAGAAAAAAAGGTAAAAAAGAAGTACAATAGCTGAACAAAATGGTGAAAGGAAAAAAAGAAGAGCCTTGTGTAGGAAAAGTTTTATAGAACAACAACACATGTTCAACCAAAGTCAATGTTTTTTAATTATGTACAGTAAAGTAGGCTTACCCTGCATAAGGGTATATATTTGTGTACTGGTGGTGCACAGTGGTATATCGACCCTGCATGTGCATGTGTGTGAAAACCTAAATACAAAGTCACGCCACAACCATTCCTACTGGCCACCCTACACCATTTCCCCTAAGCCCCTAGCTAGGTCTCAGTGTCATAACATCAGAGGAATAGGGACATTTGACATTGCATCAAAATAATGGTTTTATTTATTTATATATCTAGTCAAATATAAAGAAGTAATTTCAAAACTAGTTCAAAACACCCCACAAACACTCTAGTGGTGGTGATCAATTGGTGAAGGCGTGGTTTGTATATGGAAAATGATATTGTGATTATTGTTGGGGTTGGGCTAAAGAGAGTGAAAACGATCCCAAGAAAAAAGATGAAAGGTGGGGTATATTGGATATAGAAAGAAGGCGTGTTCATTTGAGAGAGATGAGATTTTAAAGAACTATTATTAACTTGAAGATGGTAATAAAAGAGGACAAGATAATAGGATTGTTATGCAGTGATGACATACTCAAAAAATAATTATTGTGAAGGTGGAAGATCTTATCAAAAGGTAGGGAATATTCCGTTGTTCATGTCGTTGGGTGGAAAATTTCCCATTTGGTCTCAGGTGGTAGTTCTATTGATGAAGAAGAAGGAAGGGACAAAATTGTCTTCTCATATGAAAAGTACGAATCCCATATCGGGTCCAACCGGTTTGGGGAAGTGTAATCTCACCCGCCGTCACCTATCCAAAAAGAAAAAGAAAAACTAAACCGCTGATTGTGACTCCACCGAATGTCGCTGTGATAGGTTATGGACCCCACCATAATTTGGTAGGTATGAGCAGCACGTGATTGACGCCCCCACAACACAAGGCCATCACCACATAAACTCTCCCTCCATCACATGATCATCGTTCTTTCACGAATCAAAAACCAATTATCATATACGTCGAATGCATGAACCACTCTTACAACCCCAAATCCATCTTGCATGCATTTTCATTATCCAACAAAAAATTATTATTATTATTATTATTATTATTATTATTATTATTATTATTATTATTATTATTTCTTATTATTTTTATTTTTATTTTTTATTTTTATTATGGTGGAAAGACGCATGTTCTATAAGATAAATCGTAACACTTGGATTAGTCCAACAAAAGAGACAAAAATAGAAAATAATACGAGAGGAATGGAGAAAATCACTTCACTTTTTTCTTCCATATTTCTCATTATTCTTTCATCTCTATCCTTAACTCTTGACTTTGTGTGTAATGGAACTTTGTCATTGACAGAATTGACCCCAAATTGTCTTTCTTGTTGATTAGTGTGGAAATTTATCTATCAATTTTCTCTTGGTAGAAAAAATTATTTTTTTATTATTAATATGATACTGACAAAGAAACATTTTCTTCATGTTAGAAAATATGAAAATAAATAGGTTTGCAACCATCACAAATTTGTTTTGTTTTATTTGTTACTCTAAAAAAATGAAAACACTACTATTTTGTTAATTATTCATTCTTATCTTTTACTGGTTCTAAGTGGGTGGGAATGTAATGAGTGAAAACAACAAGATAAATTAATTAGAGTTTTTGTGAGTAAAGAAATATAAGAACATTTTTATTATGCTAAAGTTTAATGAAGGAACATTTTGAAATAGAATAGATAACTATTTAAAAAGAAAATAATAATAATAATAATAATACCTTTTCATTAAAGATAGCATATGATTGTATTTTCATTTATAATAAATTGAATCTAAATTCAATATCAATCAATACACCCCAAATTTTGAACAGTAGAAACATGCCATTTGCAGATGCAGTTGATTAGGTGTACTTAGGGATGGATAGAGGTTAGATGTCTATTTTAGAGATGACAAGGCCAATTTCTTGTACCAAAATCAATTAATGACACTTTCTTTTATCGTTTTCTTCATTTTTTTATTGTATTAATTTAATTATTTTTATTTCTTTACATTACTTTTCTTTCACCTCTCTCTCATCACTTTCCGTACTAAATCTTTCTTTAACATAAAACAAATATACTTAAAACAGATAAGATAAATATGAATATGCATAATTTATTCACTACTTTACTCACACACTCCCATTGTTTTT